TGCTGGAGGAAAAGGGAGATAGGAAACATGTGTAAAACCCAGAAAAATTTGAATTTTTGTGAAAAAAGGTAAAACGGTAATTAGTCACTACGGTACGGGTTGAAAACCTGAATTTTTCTAGAACTCAACTGACAAAATGGATCTTACCGTTGGATTCGTCTCGCAAAATCTAATTACCTAGTCAATTTTTGTTGAATTTCAAGACAGTCGAATTTTTTACGTGTAATGAGACGATCGGGTGTCGCATGACCAAAACAAATGCAACTGGGAATTAAATTGTGAAAAGTGAAAAATAATTTAAAGCAAGTTCAAATAAAATATTTTGAACTTGAACCAGCACGAAATTTAATTGATTCAGGACAAAATCGGACTCGAGAAAAGTGAATGTGTGGCGCAACGAGAGCCAAGTGTTTAGAGAGTATAAAAGGGGAGAAAAATCAGATATCTTGCCCAAATCTCAGTTGGGTTTTCGTTGGAGAGGGAAGAGAGGGAAAAGATAGCGTTCTCTAACGTCTCTCAACGATCTACGGCTCTACGTTTGTCGAATCAACTTGGGCCAAGAACAAAGATTGTTCTACTCAACATGGGCTACAAAACCATACCAAAGATCGAAGGTTTTGACGAAGAACAAAAGACGGGATTTTTGAAAATCAAGGGCTAAAGCTTGATTTGGGTTCCTAGAGGCTTTCTACCACTTGTTCTACGTTTCAAGAGATAGGGTTGCTTTCCTAATTAGGTTTATTTTCAACCTATGGTTGATATATGAAATGGGTAGGGTGTTAAAAATATAATCTCATGTATAACACATACTTATGGTGTTAGAAATGTGGAAAATGAGTTTAAGAAGGGTTAAAATCAATTCTAGCATGAATTAAGTTGTTGAAATTGCTTGATTGGTGATTTCATGAGAAATGTGATAAATGAGGGTGTTTGGTAAAATGCCTTGAATGATATATATGGGTGTTTGATAAAATGTCTTGAATGATATATGTGGGTATTTGATAAAATGTCTTGAATGGTATATGTGTGTGTTCAATAAAATGTCTTGAATGATATATGTGAGTGTTAATGAAATACCGATGTGGATTAAGTGTGTTATTTGCATTGATTATGTTATAACATGTTTGAGATTGATGTTGGGAAATGTTGGTATATGCATTATGATATATTGACATTGAGGACTTGAAAATATTGAAGGAATATTGTTTATATTGTGCTTATGACATGTTAAACGTGGTATTGAAATTGTAATTGAATTCTTAGTTGCATAAGTATATGAAATGCAATGGTTCATTACGTTTGCATATTGCACGGGAAGTATTACATTCGTGAACAATTGACATGAGTGTGGGTGTGTGTGCATGGTTTGATCAAATTTCATTCTTGGTGGATGATGAGTGGATTCAAGATAGTTGGATCAAGGTTCAACTGAGTCGGACGATTTGCATTGAAAGTAGGGTCGGGGTTTGTAAAAAAGGCTAGACTGTCCCTCGGGTGCAAGACCTAGTGATTTTGGATGTGCACTCTGTTGGTATTGAGTCCATAAAGTGTGTCGGCGTACGCGGAGCCATTGGTGGAAGTCCATAAATTTTGTGTCGTTTGGGTGCCCGTTAGTGTAAGTCCATGAATATCCACCCCAAGAAAGACCCAAGAAATTTTAATAGTCATTGGATGTGTAACATCAATGGCGAGGGATTGAAATGCCCCGATTCATACGCATGAATTGCATGTGTTGAGGGAGTCAGTAAAGGCTCGGGTTGAGTTGCATATGTGAGTCTCATCTCATAACATAGCATGACATAGATGATACATTATGAATTGCATATTCTTGAATGGATTATTTGTTGCTTATTGAATTACATGTGAATATTTTATATGCATATAGATTGGGCAGTAGTCTCTTTAAGAGATATCCTATTGAGCTTGACTCACCCTTTATGAGAACAATATTTCAAGTCAGGGCATGCGCCGATGAATGGCTCTCACTCAGGCCCTCAATGATGAAGAAAATCCAAGATGTGACTTTAAATCATGTTTAGTAAAACTATTTTGTTATTTAGTTTTTGGACATATAATTGTATGTAAAAGATTATAATCGAACTCATATGAACTGTGTTTAATGTAAAATTTCATGTTATATGAGTTTGGGTTGATGATGTATGAGGTTGGAATGAATTGGAATTAAAAAACGATGGAATTGGGGGAACACTGGGGAGAGTTACTGGTAGGACGTTGAGTTATTCTATTGGTAGAACGCCGAGTTTTGTTGGTAGAACAATTCCACTGAGTTTCTCCTACCGGTAGAATGCTGATATTACTATAGGTAGAACAATTTTAGATGATTTTTCTACCGGTATAACATGAATATCTTCTACCGATAGGTCCCCTTGAAATTTCATAAAATTAAAATGCTTTTGTGAAGTCTCTGGGCCTTGAGCCCTCTTGTTTCAAAGGGGTAAATGGAGTAATATTAAGGGTAAATTGATGTATATTGGATCTTGGAGGGTCATGTGATTGAAATGTACGCAAGTTATGCATTTGGGAGTGCTCGGTACAAGGGAGACTATGTCCAAAAGCTGTGTTGTTTATGATCTCGGTGAAGGGGATGTTAATGTTATGGTGTTGGGTAATGCGATACTCACGGGTACTTTTGCGGGTTGATGGGTGACCAACGGTTGACAAATGACCTCCGATTTTAAGGGCGTCACAGCAAGAAACAAACGGAGGAAAGCGAAATGAACAGTTCAGTCACTAAAACTCTTTAAATAGGTGCTTGCAGAAAACAACGATTGTGACTGCTCATTCATTTGAATTATTAATTAAACCCAATTAAATGAGGGAGACATTGTTTGGACATAAAATATTAATTTTCAAGAATATTTAACGTATTAATATCTGGCAATTTGGATGCACTAATAAGGCGCCACGTGACAGAATATGAAGAAAGACAGGAGATTATTAGCCACAACTATATTTGAAAAGAAGAATAACTAACTAGAAGTTATCATTCAAATAATCGTTGATGAAAACAAAACCGTCAAAGATAGTGGCTATAAAATGATATGTAGTGGAGAAGATGAAAGATACACTCAAATCACCACAAGACCCATGATCTGGGTATTTTTAGGAGTAGTTTTAGAATAGTTTTAAAAGGCAGTTATCGCTGCAATCAAAATTTTTTGTTCAATTTCTCTGTAACCAAAGTCCCTTCGATTGAATTAATAAAATAATTCTCTTTTATTAGTTCCTTGTACTGTGTGTTTATTCATTGTTTCTTATCCAAGGAAGTTCTGAAATAAGACATTTGAATCTCTTACAAATAATCGCTAAAAAATTATCTATCAATTGAGATATATTCGTCAACTAAAAATTTGTGAAAACAAAAATAAGAAACCTGTTTATTATTATCCCAAAAATTCACCACCTAACACCACCAACCACCTACCATCACCAAACTGCCACCACCACACTGAAACCCACACCCCCACAACCCTTCCCCTAAAATTCACCACCACCCAAACCCAACCCTTTTGTGAAACCCATCGCCCACCCCCTCAGATGCATTCACCCATTCAGATGCACCCACCCATTTAGATGCACACCCACACACATGCACAATCATATGCGTAAATCACACACACACACACACACATAGATGTCAAGATGTGCACACACAAACATAGATTCATACATACATAGAGAGAGAGAGAAATGTTAAAATCAACAACAATATACCCTAGAAACCCATAATCGCCCAACCCACTCCCAACCCGAAACCCACAGCATCCAACCCCACCCCATCGTTGAAATCCACAGCCATCTAACCCACCACCCCCCAAACTCACCCCACCACCAATAGAGAAACTCACCACCACTCCCCAAAATTCATCACCATCACCAAAATAGAGAAAGTTGAGAGAGAGTGAGAGCGACAGAGGGGGAAATGGCGTCTGGATCCTTCTGCTTTGGCTTCTCTTCGTCTGGCTTTGGCTTCGTCTTTAGCAGATAGAGAGAGAGACGACAAAGATATGAAAGGTGAAAGAGAGAGATGCCCTTTTATATAATCAAGCAAAAAAATTCATATTTTGTTGCTAATGAGGATCGAAGCCCAGACCTCATTAAAATGACTCGCGCGTTTTTTTTTTGATGTTTTTATATTTTAACCTTGTTTTTAAAACAGAACAATTAAAAAAAAATAAAACATTCACCAAACATATTTTTATTTTTTTTTAGCCATAAAATAAAAAAAAAACAAAAAAAAAATAGAAATGGGTGGTTATCAAACGCCACCTAAATTATCAAGTTTACTACTTAGATGATTACTTCATTATTCATCTTAATTAATTATATTATTTTTAAATTCGTGTCAAATTTGTACTATGTGTGGTATGAAGAGTTGACAACTCTAAGCATATACACAATCACATGCCCTTGATGGCATATGAAATATCATAAGATATATAAAATAAATACATAAATAGATCACTTTACATACTTTTCATCAAATATTATCTTTTCAGAATCACATAACTATCTGAAAGACTTCAATACACCATCTCGGAATCAAAACTAAAATTCCACCACATGTTCTGGATATTAAAGAATAAGTTTTGTCCTACAAAATGTTAAAAACTATAAAAATTCGAACTCAAACATTAAGAAAAAAAATTCAAATTCTTACCCGTTAAGACCAACCAATTGTGGTGGAGCAAATGAATACTAGGGATGGAAGGCCTAATTAGGAGTGTCAATTCTGACCCATTGACACGAACCTGACATGAATTTGACATGCACAATTATAAAATTAACACGATTATTAAATATATATAATAAATAATTTAAATTAATGTTTAAAATTCAGAACACACTAAATAATTTTTTTTTTGTGTGAGTTTTAATATAAACACAATATAAATAACAATAATACAACACAGAAATACACGACAGACGGGGGTCACTCAACACGGCACAATTAACAATTTGGTCTCCAACCAGATAAAAATCTCCGCAAAAGACTCACAGCACAACCTCATCCTACGGTTCACATGTTTCCAAAAAGATCCCACGGTGCAAATCCACTCCAGCCTTCCATATATCGCAATGGTCGCTCCTCCTAAACCCTCATCGATCAAGACCTTCTAGGGTTTTAGCCTCGTCACATCGATAGCAAGGTACTCCTCAACTCTCTCTCTCTCTCTCTTTCTCTCTCTCATTTCTCCATGTGGAGGTATGCCACCTTTAGCGATTCATATCTTGTATGTCTTTCTAGGGTTCGGATGGGTTTGAGGTTGATATGCAATTGACTGAGCATTATGTCGTATTTTGTGAACATTTTCTCTGTTTTTCTTGGATTCTTATTGGTTTGTGGTTAATATGTGATTGATTGAGCAAGTGTTCAGTGTTTTACATCTTTTGACGTGGTGTTTTGTTCATTTTTTGAGTTGATATGAAAAAGTGAGAAATAGTAGGTGATGACTGTGTTTTTGTGTTGGAATGCTTAGATACCAAAAAGTCGGGCTTCGTTAGGGTGTCAACCCAGGAGGGTGCATATAAATATAGTTACCTTATGAGTAAACTAGGTACTTTCGAGAATCCAGCCAAATGGAACTCTATGCAGGGCAAATGTTGTTTGGGCGTCAGCACAGGATAGTTTATGTAGGTGAATGACTTCAAGATTCAGCTGGGTTCTGTTTATAATCCAGCCACACTGACTTTGCAAAAATTACCATTTTTTGGTGTTTTCTTAGAGGGGTTTTTTTTTTCCCTCAGCTTCTGTGTGTTTGTATTAGGTAAATAGAGTGGACAAGGTACGTCCAAGGATATACCTCTGTACTTCAGCCTAGAGATAGAAGACAATGATCTACCTTTATACTTCAGTATGAAGATCGATGTGGTTGTGTATATAATTCAAGTGTTTTGCTGTATGTTTGTTGTACACTGCCAATGTCGAGGGGTATGATATGGAACTATGGGTGTTCTCTCTCTCTCTCTCTCTTTTTCCTTTTTTAGTTTTGGCTGGGGCAAGGAAGTGGGAAATGGGGTAGTACTATTCAACTGAACATTTGTTCTGAAAGAAGTTAAGTCCAAATTTTCTTTGAGTTAGGTATTACTCTTGTTCATATCTTAATTCTTTAATGGATCTGTACTGGTCCGAATGCCTGCATAGTTGATTATGTTGTAAAACTAGCTAACATTGTGCAAACATTCTCTGAAACAGTCAGGCTGGTTGTCCTCCAAAACCGCTATAGGCGGGAGCCTTTTGTAGAGGCTACGAGCTTCTTTAGTTTCTTATCTCTTGCATAATTTATCTGTCAAGATGCTAATTACTTTATATTGTAAATTTCTGAGAACTTATTGTTTCTTACTCTGGTTAAGGTTACAACAATGGCATTCTTTAGTAAAGCTGGGAATATACTAAGGCAGACAGTGACAAAGCACATCAACCAGGAAATATCTGCATCCAATCCATCAGTCTTTCAAATCATTAGATGCATGTCATCTTCAAAGATATTCATCGGAGGTGCATCCAGTTTTCCTTTCGGTTAGCTTTTTTGAACTTTTGTATTGTTATTATTGCTAATGTTCTGTAAATTTTGCATCACAGGACTATCTTATTCCACAGATGACACAAGTCTGACAGAAGCTTTCAATAAGTATGGAGAAGTTATTGATGGTATGCAAAATAATTTAGAGCATGGAATGTATGTCAGACTAGAGTAGTCAAAAGGGTGCCGTATGCTATTTTTTGGTCTCATTATGCTGGTAGATGCTTTGAGGTTCTTCAATAAGTTCGGTAGCATCCATATAGGAAGTGTTTGAACTTCAAACAAAGTTGCAGAGCTGCACCTGGTGGTCTAGCCTCCTTGTTGCATCCATTAATGAAGTATATATTAAGGTCTCCAAGTAAACAAAGGTTCTCAGTCGAGTATAATGTTTTGTATTGTATCTATGCAGTTTTGTCTTGACCCGTAAATCTTCTAGGGGAACAAGGATTTGACCATTCACGTGCTCTTGGATTCTTGTTTTCGGAGCGATTGTATTTTTTAGCTGGATACTTCTATTGGTGAAATAGTCACTTATGGGACTTAGCTTTGCTTGAGCATTGTCATGTTTACCACTCCTCTAAGCTGGTGCTTCACAAGCACTACAGTCCAGAATGGAAAAGAGTGCTACGTTTTTTTTTGCAAGGAAGACTTGGGTGCCGACTTATGCATTGCGAGCATAGTTATGGGAGGTTCCCTAGTTGCCTTGGCTGTAAAAGTTGCCTAAAATACGTAGGCGAGCTTTGCTTGAACAACCATGATGTATGTGTCTGCCCAGGTTTTTGGGTGACTGCCTATGGAAGTAACTGATGCCTAAGCAATAGCCAAGGCCTATTGCCTAGGTTGCACTTGTATTTTGCCTGCCATGGTTTGGAGAGGCATGATTATATTTGGACACATACATGAGTTAGAAAATTTTTCACATACAAGGCTAACCAGCTTATGATTTATTGCAGCTAGAGTCATTATAGATCGTGAAAGTGGGAGATCCAGAGGTTTTGGCTTTGTCACGTACGCTAACCCTGAGGATGCTTCCGCTGCTATCCAGGCCTTGGATGGGCAGGTATTGTTATTGTTTGCTTGTTTTCTGTCAATTCTCAGCAAATTCAGATTGCTGATGTGATCGTTGTGAAATTGGTAGTGGCGTGCTGGTTGTTGTTGGAATATGTAAATAACAGATGGTCAAATTATTTATGTACTGATGCTCTTTAATGGATATATATCGACCTCGAAGTGCTAGTATTAATTTATGGAGGGTGTGGTACAAAAAGTTGGTTACTTCTGGCTTATAGCATTCATTTGACTGTGGCTTTTCTGGTGCGGATGGGATAGTAATTCATCCAGTTCAAAGAACTGTATGCTGAGTTATTAAGTTATAGCTAATCTTATTAACATTTCTTCCAGGATCTTCATGGCCGTATGGTAAGGGTGAACTATGCAAATGAGAGGACACGAGCGCCTGCTTATGGGGGTGGTGGAGGTTATGGTAGTGGCAACTATGGTGGCGGTTATGGTGGTGGAAATTATGGAAGTGGTGGTGGTGATAGCTATGGAGGTGGTAGTGGTGGCAATTATGGCAGTAACTATCGTGGCAATAGTTATGGAACTGGGGGCAGTGTCGGAGACAACTATGCTGGTGGTGGTAGTGGTGGGAATTATGGTAGTAGTTATGGTGGCAATAATTATGGAACCGGGAGTGGCGTTGGAGACAACAATGCTGGTGGTGGCAGCAGCTATGCGAGTGGAAACAGTTATGGCAGTGGGAGCAGTGTCAGTTATGATGGTGACGGCCAGAATTTTGGTGTTGCAGGTGGTGTTGGTGGCAGTGATAATTCTGTCAATGGTGTTTCTGGTGGTGCCAACAGTTTTGATAGCAGCGAGTACAATGGAAATACAGGGTCGGAGTACAGCAGGGGGAATCAATTTGGTAGCAACGGAAGCAGCAACATGGCTGATGGTGGTGGGGATTATAGCCCAGATGTTCCATTAGAAGGGAGTTACAGGGATGATGATGATGTTCAGGTTGAAGACATAGCTGACAGAAGAGCGTGAAAGGTTTCCCGGGAAACTTTTCAAGTAATACAAAGGATTAATTGAGGAAATGACTGAAATTTCTGTGTGTTCTACAAGTTGAATTTTTACTTGCTATTGTCCTTTGCCTGCACTTCTTTATCCAAACTATTTATTTCCTTGTTCTTGAATCTGGCTCTGTAGACTCCACTTTGATTAATTTTAAAGTCTAGTATTTTCTCAAGGCAAGCATTTGTGCTGTATGTCGTTTGCTTATTCTAAGCTAATTGTAATTATCATCTTTTCGTCGGCCTGCGTTCATTTTTTTTAGGAGGAATATCTTAGTGCAGGATTGGTGCTATCACTGCTATGTAAAGCAGTGATTTTTGTTGAGCTATATGGTGGTAGACCTATACTGTGGCATGGCAGATGATTTCTCTGAGGAAAAGGTTCTAAAATGGTGTTGGTTAGGTTTGAAACTCTGCAATTGTTAATGTGATTTGACATTAACAATTGGGGAGTTACAAACCATACTTTTACCATTTTAGGTAACATAACTAACCAATTTTGGGAGGCATGTAAGAAAGTGCTTGGAAGGAATTAGGAGTGCCCATTACTCTTCCCCCCCCCCCCCCTCCTCCTCCTCCATATATTGTATAAAGTTAATAGGCGATGGCATGTTTGGACACATGATGGATAGTAGAGGTCCTCCTATATAAGGAAATGAACAAGCCATTTTCGGTCTTCTCCTAGTCATTTGTTTGCCTTTTTGTATTTTCGGGATTTTCATATTTCAGTGGAGCAACCATTTGGATCACAGGATTTCATCTTGTTCCAGCTTCATTTTGAAAGCGTCAGGGAAGTCTTTGGATGCTTACATCTCAACAAGCACCTGTAGCCAAGTTTGCTCCTTGGTTGAGTAGAAGCATCAAGGGCCTGTTTGTTAAGAGGGTTTGGGGGGGGGGGGGGGGGGGGGTTTGAAAGGTGCGTTAATGGGTTTAAGATAGTAAATGATATTTATACCCCCATTTATTGCATATACCCCATATTACCTCCATTCATATGTCTCTGACCTGACCTCTATCACTCAACACAGACAGAAGATTCGTTTGGGTTGAGATCGATGAACACAAAGAAGATCTTCTAGCAAATACACTACCTGAAAAAAATATTTGGGAAATCTCTGGGAAAGACCGAATGGGGAGAGAGAGAAGGTTGTTGTCCTCTTTGCTGGAAACGATTGAAGAAATCAGTCGGTCCTCTTCTTCGATCTGCAAAAAATATTTGGGAAAATCTATTGCAAATATTTCCTTCGCCCTATCAAGTCAATCACAGTTCAGCAATGCTTCGATTGCCCTATATAAACCCCTCCCGTTGTTCAATTGCAACACATCTAAAAGCCGAAAAAAGCTGTTCGTGGTTGTTCGATCAAGAGAAGTTAAGTGGAATCGAATATTTTGGTTCAAAAATCTCTGCTGTAAGTTCCTTGATACTTTATTTTGCTAATACTAGGATTCTGGCTAATACCTTTGTATTCCTCACTGCCTACGGTTCTTTTTTCTGAATATTGGCATACAATAGTTAGGATTCTATTGGAGATCATGTGTGACTAATTACTGATTTACTATGAACTGGGTTATTTTTTTCTGATACCTTTGTATTCCTCACCAGTTAAGTGTTGGTTTTTCAAAGTCCCAACTGTGAAATCATGGTTCTCTTGGAGATCATGTGTGACTAATTACTGATTTACTCTGAACTAGGCTACTTTTGAGTCATTGAAGTTGTAATTTCATTTGCAAAAATGCATATTGAGGCATAATTGAAGTTTTTCTTTGGTGAAGTTGGATGTATCAATATTAGTCATCTTCTGTATGCATAATATAGTCAAACTCAGCAATAAGTCTGGCCATAAGATGACAACAATGGTCAGATAATATAGAGAGAAAATGATAGAGGTAAATATATACGAATAAAAGTTGAAAAGAAAAGATAATGGAGCTCAAAGTGAGGTCTGGTGAGTAATAGAATACCGAAAAATGAAATTTAGAAATCATAGTAACTACTCCTAAATGTAGACCACAGTGAACAACCACCACATGATGGAAATAAGCAAATACAGAGCAAATGCCTGATTAAGAATCAAGCAAGCATAGTCCAAATTGTTCATCAAAATATGAAATTCTGAAATGATTTTTAATGTCAATTTTGAAACAAGGCATGTATAAGGTTCACAGCCATTATGTATCTATGAGATAGTAGCTGTGAGAGGATGTCCAGCACGTAAATATGTTGAGAGAGCTTTGGATGATCCAACCATGTTGATTGTTACCTATGAAGGGGAGCACAACCACTCCCTCTCTGTTGCAGAAACAACTAATCTTATTCTAGAGTCTTCTTAGATCACCCTTATCATCATCTTCATTTTCGGGACTAGCCATGGTTGTGCTCTGCTAAGTGTAGGGTACAATCTGAATCATCAGTATAGTCTTTTGTAACACCCAGCTGAGTTCATTGACTCAGCCAGTGTCATTTAAGGCGTAAAACGAATCGAAGCGACCAAGGCTTTTAACGCCTAATCAAGAAGTGAGAAGCGAAGCGATACGTTTTATCGAAGCAAAGCGAACAGTTAAAAAAAATATATTTTAGTTTAATTACTTTTAAACAATCTAAGTTCTAATTTTATATATACTAAATATTTAAATGCAAGTAAAACCATAAACATTTAAATTAAAACAAACACTAATAATATCTCAAATTTTAATAACAATCATAACTTAAACATTTAAATTCAAACAAATACTAACAATTATATACATTTTCACATTGACAGGGTAGAACAACAAAAGAAGCAGAATCAGAATCAGGAGCAATAAAAAAAAAGAAGCAGAATGAGGATAAAAAAAAAACAGAAGCAGCACAGGACAGCAAAACCGAAGCAGCAACAGAATCAACAAAAAAAAATAGAAGCAGAATGAGCTAACAAAAAAAAAAAACAGAAGCACAATGATCATGACATGAGCAGAATCAATTGTAAACAATTTCATATGTAATTATGTACTGAATAAAAAAAGCAGAACAGATGCACATTTCATATGTACTAAAATAATTAAACATGATATAAGCATAGACCACTTTTTGGTACCATTTGTATATATATAAAAAAAGGAAAAAGTATAACCAAGACATATCAGAGACACTTCTTTGTAGAAGACTCTATTATTTACCCCTATTCCTGATACTCCTGCTTCCTTTCTTTATCATAATTTTGTTATGCAGTCGCCTGACTCCTATATCCCACAAATATTCTAAATGAATTCAGCAACACAAGGAAAAAAAAGGAATGTATTTTGTTCGAAACATTGTTTATTAGAAAAAAAAAATAGACCAGCGATAGTCTAAAAAAAAAGTCATTCGTAATTAAAAAATAAAAGAGACTACTAACCTATAATTAGAAGAAAAAAAAAGAAAAAAAAAAAAAGGAAGCAAAATCGCCTCTTATAATAAAGCGTTCGTTTTTTCGTTTTTTCTCACTTTTTTCTCGCTTCGCCTAGGCGAGCTTTTCAAAACACTGGACTCAGCAAGCTCTATCTCGAAGGAGATTATGTGGGTTGGGTTAGTTTATTCCTTGTACAACACTAAGCTCTCTCTCTCTCTCTCTCTCTCTCTCTCTCTCTCTCTCTCTCTCTCTCTCTCTCTCTCGAACTTACTGTGAATTAATAAACAATTAGTAAAAGGAAAGAAAGAGGTGCTATTGGATTTGGTTGTTGATTCACTCTCTTCCCTTTAGTTTATTGTTTGCTTTATTTTTTTGTTCTTGTTGTTGGATGAGTCATGGTGTCTCTTGTCTCACAACAAGAACAAATAAGATATTACAGTTATCACCTTATACCTCCAATGATTATTAATTTTACATTACCCCCTTCAACTATCATATTTTTTAAAATGCACCTGCTATTGTAGTTTTTGGTTTCACTTTCACCTAGCTTAAATTTTGGAAAATGGAAACATGTGATTTGGGCCCTACAGTGTTCCCATTTTTGTTTTTGCTTTTCCCTTTGCCTTTGCTTAACGTCAACCCTGATGAGCATGAATGGTCTCCCAACTACCAAGTCATTGATCAATAGTCTTTTGTTTTTTCGGCTACTGTCATTTATCATTGTCGTCTTCTTGGGGCTGCTCTTATTCAAACCATGAATGGCATCAGATTTATTCATATTTGTTTTCTTAATTTATAGATTATTAGACTAATCAATCGAGGGTGTTTAAAGCAATTTAAAAAAAAAAAACACTCCACATGGTAGTCTGTTTTTGGAGTTTAAAGTATTCGAGATATGTCATTGTACTTTCTCAACTGTCATAGACGATAATTTTCAACTTAATCTATAATAAACAAACACCAAAAAAAAAAAAAAAAAATACAATTACGATCTATGAAATTATACATGAAAAATAGAGACACGCCCACACCAATGTGTTTCCCTTGATATCATTTGCATCAAGACTTTCATCCCAATGATGTTATGCAAGATTTGCTTCCATATCTTTGAAGCATTTTTTTTTCCTAGTGTATTGCAGTATTCATCTGTTGAATTTTCAGACTCAATAGAGACAAAGCTGTCATTTCCATCCATTTCATCAGATGCATCTCCATGTCCTTCAATGTCATTGTAGTTCTCTTCTATTTGGCTTTGGAAGGCATTTAAACTTCATAGCATATTTTTAGGACTATGTTGTATCCATTTACTACACTTCCATCATTGTTGGTCTGTGGTACCATGAACCATAAAAATTTTAGTATCTTTAAAAATTCTACACAAACTATGCAGTTAATGTGTTTGGAAAATTATTTAGTAATTATTAATATTGATATGTTGGTGGTTTTGTGGTATTATTTCAGTGAATATGACCTGTAAACATGACAATGTATCAGCTGTGATTGTTTGTCTCAATAATTTAGTAAGAGAGTTTGTCATTGTTTTTACTTATATTTTGATGGTTATGGTAGCAATATGGGCAAATGAGAAACGAGTCAGTCGATAGGTTCCGTGAGCATCTCCATAGGCTTATCGGAGAAAGCGATAGAGCATGTGTTGAACAACTTAGCATCTCCATAGGCTTTTTGTTTGGTATTAACTAATGTATTGCGCTTTCATTTTGTAATGGATATTATTATTGGACCATGGTTAAAAGAAATGAGGCACTTAAGGCTAACACAAGATGAAGAAGATGTTTTGTTGGATTGTCTTATGGACCTTAAGTTGGAGAGGCGCATTGCCAACACGAGTGAATTCCTTGAAGGAGGCTGGAGTCGTCTGTGGGAGATGATAAGTTCACGTCGGCAAGCACTACGATTAACTTTGGGACTAGAGATGGAAGTAGTTATTTTTTGAAAAAGACGTCATTTCAAGACGAAAGATATGGAGGCTTTGGGGTTGTTCTGTTGGAACAATGAAGAACGAGTTCTTTTTCCAATCAATACGACAGGAGTTTCTTTCTTAGAGGTTTATTTTTTGTTATATATATATTTTACTATACGTTTTTATATAAATCTGTCAATAAATTAAATGTCATTTTTTATAGGATGACACCTTTGTAGCTCAAGCGTGTGTGCGGACTTGTCCCAATTATGAGATCTTCACAGAAATATTCGGCCCACATGGAAAAGGCAGAAATATATCGACCTTTTCTAGTGCTGGCTCCACTTCAGTCATTTTACCATATAGGCCTACTGTGGATTTGGTTATCATTGATGATTAATGTCATCAATACATGATGTTTAATATGGTTTAACGGGAATATGTTCGACCGTTTTCATGTATTTGTGAATGGACAAATTTTATATGTATCCCCGTATAAGTTAATGTTAGAAAGTTGCACTTTTTTGTTGGGTTAATGTTTTTTTGCCCTTTATTATGGTTATGAATAATACTAATTTTTTAATCAATATTCATGGTTTTTTCATAAGTTAGGAAAAAAAAAATCTAATTATATATTTAACCCATAAGGACACAAGTAAATGTACATAACCAAACATGGGTTTGGATTCAATTGGTTAAAGGGCAAAATTGTCAAATATATACAAATATCTTATCATAATACTACTATATTCTGCACATACCAAACATGAGTATGAATAGTATTAACCTCCTCAAACCTATCTTTGAATCTCATCTTTGGTCAAACCCAGATTTGAACAACCCAATCCAAACTTTTTTCAAAAAACAAACCAAACAGGCTCCAAGGGTGTTCCCGAGTACGATGGATGCTATTGAATTTTCTTTGATGGTTTTAGGTGGGACCAACAATTATGTACACGACTAGCAAACTTATTAGCTAAATACATGAACATGACATAATAAGAACCCGACTTTATAAGATTATTAGTGCATTGGTATGAGTTAAAAGAATTTGACACGGTATCATTATACGGCATGACCTATTTTAAGATATTGGGTTCTTCCTCAAATTTGATTAGATGGTGGGTGGATCGTGTACTAGAGAAGTCTAGGATTGATCCTTAGTAAAGAAATTGGGAGCCAAAAGGCTAAAAGAACAAGCTGCAAAAATGGCCAAAAAGTTCCACCAAAACACATTTTAATCATGAAACAGAAAGAGCTTTCCCTCCAAATGATTATACACTACATACGAAGATGGCAAATTTAGAGGAAAAAATTCTCCTAGCTTTTTTGACTATGATGATGCACTTGGCCTTCAATCTTCTTCCTTCTTAGTTTCCCATATGCCTTTTATGGATATATCAACCGATTGAATGAATTTGCAGCAAAGCTTCAAAATAAAGATGGCTATGAAAATGAAGGCGAAGACTTGGAAAACTACAGATGCCAAAACCAATAGCAGATGCTTTGTTACCGCGCTCTAAATGTTTAAGACCATCAATAACCATTTTTGCTTTCATACATAAATACCACCAGCTGAATGATCGCAAAAATTCCTCCCAACTTGAAGCATTTCTGGTGGAGAGTTTGTTTGGAAGCTTTAGCTTCTAGCCTATATAGCTAGAGGGAGACCTGTATTCTTCAAAGGCATCCGATAGCTGTAGCACTGGAAAAATTCTCTCTGCAGGGCTTTGTGCGCAAGGTACCAATGTCAGTACTTACCTAATACTTCAGATGAAAAAATCAACTTCATAGCAGCAACATACTTCCTGCTAAGCTTTAGCACGACCTACAAGTGGAGCACTGGAATGAGAAGTTAAACCAGTCAATGAGGCTAGAAAGCACATCTAACAGTGAACCCAAGGGTGAGAGAGGGAGGGGAGGGGGGGTTTAACCCACCAACTCAAAAAACCCTTTACAGAAGGAAAACCGATTCACTGTTATACAGTGCAAGGAAATGCAGACAAACCTACACAGAACCACAACTCTTTTCTGTTACCAGAATAACTAGTATTCCAAGTACTAGCCCTTATTTTCAGGTGAAGATGTCAGAGTAGGCAAATGAAAAAGAAACAAGAATCTTCGCCCTGATAACAATGGATATACTCAATTCATCTGTGTATACTGCAAAATCTCTTCATTTTTCCTTTTTGTTATGCTGTTTCATTTCAAAGTAAATTTTCATCCCTAAAAAACAATGCCCTTTGAGCATTTAAAACTACAGGAGAGCCTTTCCTGGCTTTCTCTACAATCTGCTTTATCAACAGTTTTTCCGTCTCATCGTGATCATTGTCATTTTCATCTCCACTTGAACCAATGTCGTTTGAAAAGGTGATGTAATCTTCTCCCTTTTGCTGGATGAATGTTGTTGCTCCGTTCTCTTTAGTGAGTGGCTGAAATGGCATGTCATGGTTTACCACACCATTTTGAACGATGTATAAATTTCCATCAAATGATTGCAAGCTCTCTTGATAACTGTTCTTCCTGATTCCTGATGGCGAATCCTCTTCTTCTGATTCAATCTTTGTGAACTCGTCATAAGCCCCATTACAAGCATATCGAGGTTCATCTGACAGATTAATAATCAGTGTCTGTTCTGCAGGGTTTTGTTCTTCTTTGGCAATAGGACTTCCTTGGATAGAGGAAGAACCGGCTTCACTATTCGAGAACTCTCTCCATGAGTTTATACGCTCTGATACCATGTATTGAACCTTTTTCTGGCTGTTTTGAAGTTCTGTTTCAAGCTCCTTAACACGTTCTTCGAGTCTTGATTGAAGGATTTCATGTAACCGCAAGCTCAGCTCTCTGGGGGAGACTGCATAGTTAGCAGAGTGAGTGGTGGAGCTGCCACTTCCATCTCGATCAGCATAAGGTTGGGCACCAGCTTGCCAACCAAGCATGTCCGTTCTCAACTCTCCCTGGACAATGTCTGGCACAGAATCTGGGTCAATCTGCAACCGTAAGCTCCATTAAGCTTGTAAATAGAGAATACAATGGGCCCCTCGGGTACATATAAGAAATGTTTCCTTCTAGCAGTATACACAATGACACATTAGTTTTAATAGCCTTGTCGAAAGTTGGTTGAAGGCAGCTTGATGTGATAATTAGGCACTTCCTCTATGAAGGAGAATACTATCTTACTAACAGGATAATTAAAGACCACAATAAAAAATAAATTGCATCAAGCAGTAATTTGTCAATTCGACCAGACATCTTATATATGCTCTTCACTTTCTTTCCTTTCCTCTTTTGTTTTTTTTTTTTGTACTTCATTTTTCCTTTATGAATGAGTCCAGCATCAAAAAAGTACGTGAAGGTACAAACACCAGAATTAAATGGCAGAAATTAAAATGCAGTATAATAATGTGTATTAGTGCACAAACCGTCCTGCATGGTCAAAGAAGAGCAAATTCTAGATTTGACCTCCAGTATAACCTTGCCCTTTTGAACATGGGAATATAATCTGAGAAACATGAGGATAAATGTTTTACTTTATTTCTGGTTATATATTCTAAAACTCTAAGATCACTGTTGGCCTAAAATTGAAACTGAAGACCCCACTACAAAATTTCTGATTTCCCTGGTGATTTATGGTTCTTAAATAAGCCAATTATAACCCTTTTCTATCTACAAACACGACGACATATGCACCTCATAAAACATCAACTCTAATTGTAGGCCACTCATAAGGAAGTGTTTCCTTGCACTTGGTTTACATCATATGAGGTACACAGTAAAATTATCTTTATCATATAAATAGGGGTCATTACCTGGTGCAGTACTAAAAGTGTTGGGCAGCTAAAGTGAGGTGGTGGGTACAAATGTGAGGATAACCACTTTGTACATATAATATCGAAGGTTAGTTCAGTATCTAGTTTACCATCTTCTCCTCCCAACAACCTCGACTAATGGAGACCAACCCTTTTATTATGTTTCAACCTACCATTTTGGGACTAGAATATACAACCAAAAGATATGAAAAACAAAATACAGATGACTTGGCATGTGGGATATGTATAATATCAAAGGTTAGGTCAGTATCTAGTTTACCATCTACTCCTCCCTACAACCTCGACTAATGGAGACCAACCCTTTTATTATGTTTCAACCTACCATTTTGTGACTAGAACATACAACCAAAAGATATGAAAAACAAAATAGAGATGACTTGGCATCTGGGCATGTCAGTAGAGAAGAATCAAATGAATCTGGACTAAAGTTACACGCTGGCTTGGGGCTGTACCTAGACATCCCAATTCAAAGGAATTTCTTTGAATTTGTGACAGTAACTAGACACAATACCTTCTACATCGATGACATGTCAAACTATGGTGAAATACGAGGTGCCCAAGAAGATAGACCACCATAGACACATAAAAATATGTAACAGAAATTTTATAGAGTAGGCAATTGAGAGGCTTTTCCTTAACAGAATGAAAACAGATGGTAATCGTCTTGGTTTGATTATCTTCCAAATATTTAAAACTGGATGCAATAAAGATAGATCAAGATATTCACCAAGCATAAAATTGCTCTATCAACCGACATGCTTACCTCAACTAGATCAAACAATTTTCCCTCCAAACTGGATGAATTCATATTTAGTTCCAGTCTCTCCAGTTCAGCTTCAAGTTCTGCTTCAATTTTACTGAGAGACTCTTCATCTGCCTTCTGATCATGTAATTCTTCATGATCATATTTTGTTGGTTCATGAAAATTCTGTAGAGGGGACAATGCAGGTGGTGCCCCTTTGTTGTTATAATTGTGATGCGTATCCAATGATTCGTAATCCTCCGTAGCAAGCTGTTTCACAGTTAATGAATCTTTCATCTCAAGTTCCTCTTGTAAATCCTGAACCAAGTTCTCAGTCTGCTTCAACAACTCATTCAATTTGTTTACCTCCCGATTATTAGCTAATAACGAAGATATAATGCCAACAGATATGCCAAGACAAAAAAGAAGAGCTCCATGGGATGATCCTGATGCTGATGAAAACATTACAGCGTGAGATATGATACCATAATACATCATACATGGGCTTCAGTTAGCAAACTATAACACAAAAAGGAAATACAACGGGCCTATTTCACTGAAAAGTCTACATAGCTAATGGCAAGTGCAGAAAATTTTCATTTAAAAATTAAGAGTGGCAGAACACAAATGATGGTAATAACGAAATCTAAGAGTAATCAAAACTACTACCTGACCCGAATAAGCACTTCATTGTGCAGTAACTAACATTGAAAAATGAAGAATGGTAAGATCCTTTCACTAAGCACATAAGGTCAAGTATTTATTTGGGGAAATTTGTACTTCCTTTGTAACACGGACTCATGGACAGAACATCAGTATTTGCTCAAAGACATTTAGGATCCACATATTGCAGAAACAAATGGTCTGTAACGTGGTTGTTACAAATTTATGTCTTTTCTGGATTACACATGTTAGACAACAATGTTATGATTTAGAGTATTGTCCCTATTTTCAGTGCAAGTTTGTGCTTGGACTATTGCTCACGTTGGGATTAATACTAATGATGTGCTTCAAAGTAGAAGACCTCATACTTGCTCTTTCCACAGTGATTTTGAGAAGATGGACCATTTATTTTTGCATTGCCCAATTGCATTATCCTTGTGGAACAAATTGTTTAATATGCTTTCAAAGACTTGTGCGACACTTCTTTGGTGACATGTCTCACACTTCTTAAGGCTCTGCCTACAAGTGAAAAATAAACATATGTAGACAGGTAACTAACAAATCTAAAACATTGACAAACAACTATCGAGTAGATTATTGTTTGGGCTAATAATGTTAAAATTGTTGTTGAACTTTACTATAAAAACAAAATAATTTTAAATGTTTTATTGAAGAAGGGGATTTGGAAAGATGAGAGCAATCATAATAATTATGTATGTTTGTTGTACCTTGTTTATAACAAATGGTTAATTATTGGCTACTATGACCATTAATCCAAAAATTCAAATTAGAGGACTACACATAAAATTTACATATGATAAAGTACTATTTTCTTATTATGTATGATATTAAAGTTAAATCTACAGATAGAAATAGATTATGTAATTTGATAAACAAAACAATATTATTTACTTGTCCTGTCCTTGTCCTTTTTGTTTAAGAAATTCCATGTCCACATGTTCTTTTGTGACATATCCATGGGACGTGGGCATATCCGTGCTACTTGGGTCATTGGGAAGACAAATTTCATCTCTCAAAATCCCCTAAACTATTACTTTTTATTGTTTTGGAGTCGGTCAATGTTCATTGCTGACTTGTGAAAGAAAACAAAACTGAAAGGAAATTTTTATAGATATACCCTTCATATCTAATAATGGTAAATAATACCTAATCAGATGTAGTAGAATAACTGTTGCCTGGAAGTTGCTGAACATAAAAACAATGCTACCTTAATGAAACCAGGTGTTACTCTCTTGCTCTTTAAATAATGACATTGAGTTTCCAGGTGTAAGCTACTGGTAAGCCAACTATCTCAAGGTTGAGAAAAAGAATCTTAAGCAATGCTAGTTATAAGATGAACTACTCCTAGACTTTGAACATGGCATTCATGCATGCTTGCAAAATAAAATTCATCCACACAGTGAAAATAGTACCATCTTGTGAAACGTGGTTTCCATTGACCATTTTGCGGGAACTGCTCAATCTTCCACTCCGCTCCTTGCCCATCTTAACTTTCATTTTCCTTACAATCTTCAGAGACCTGGCATTTGGCAGTGGAGGAATTCCAAGAACAGTATCGTTCTCTTTTGAATAGGACTCCTTGTGCATCTTATTTTTCCTAATTCCAGTTGCTCTGCTGAAAACATCACCACTTGCTCTGCAGATTATTCTGCCTCCATCAGTCACAAAAAATGGTTTCACAGTTGGTGAAGATGGTGAAGGAATGGAACTAAGTATATACTCTTCCATCTCAGCATGTTCCTTGTACATCTGAGCTACGAGACAACTCTGCAAAGAACTTAGAGGTTTAATGAATTGAGTCCGGCCGCTTTTAAGGGTACTTTTGTTCCTAGCAGAACCAAAAGCAAACCCAATATCTCTGATAGAAGGTTTAAGTAATAAATCACCAAAGTTCTCACCAATCTCACCACTTATGACTCTTCGATCCCCTTGAAGATCTTCAGTGCTTAAAACCTCAGGTGATAAACTTGATATTGAAAGTAGATTGCAATCCTTATGATTGCCTAATTCTAAGAGTTTTGTGCCATCAGACCCACTAGTAGAAGTCACTTCTGCCATGGAATCACCATCAGAAATTGGTTCTTCTTCCATATATGGATCTTCAACTGGTTTTTTTCTCTGCACCAAACTGCTGAAGGGACAATTTTTGTCCTGAATCTGCGCTTTAAAGAGAGAGGATTCAGGCTTGACAAAACTCCTCCCGGATGATGACACTGAAAAACTTCCCCCATCCCTCAAAATATTCTTCCAATGCTGGCCTACATACACAGCCCCAGCAGCCGCTGCAACCACCCAAATATCCATTTGGTCTCTCTGTTCCACAGCACAAACACTAAATAAATTCCACACTACAGAATTTCCTCCTTGTCTCAATTCTCAGCACACAAAAAATTCCGTCAATCCTTTAGCAAGAACGAAAGCCAGAAAAGCCCTAGAATAAAAAAACCCTTAGTTGAAATGATCAAATCCAGAAAAAATGGCATATAACAGTATGTAAACTATAACAGGAAAGTGCACCAACCCAATTCACCTTAATTCCATTCTTAGCATACGAAGACCCAAATGCAGTCCTGTCCACAGTCCAAAACCAACAAACTATGCCTCAACAAAACCACAAAAGCCCCTAAGTTATCCGGACAATCAATCAACAGCAACAAAACTTTCTGAACCCAGAAAAAGAATTCACCATCAAGATACAAGATTAAGCTAAAGCAATCACCCAGAGCCAAAATTTATAATTATTAATCCTTGAAAATCAAATGCTATAAATAAAAGTGGCCAAAATGTCATAATCAAAACCCCAAATAAGGACCTTTAAAACTGTAAAGTTCAGACAATGTAACCTGTATCAGAAACCACGACAACCCAACAGACCACTCAGTAGATAGATGCCAGAAATCTAAGCCAACCCATTTGCCAGCAATATCTACCCTGCAAATTCCATCAACGAAAAGGACCCATTTCTCGTACAAACACCATCATCCAAGAACCAACGACAACCAATACAGTCATAAACTTTCAACCAAATTCCAACAAAACCCAAATGAAAGCCACCTATAAACTCCAAAACCCATCATTTTAATGGACCCATTTTCACCCCCAAAAAAAAATCTAGCAGTGTAGCTGTGTAGTTGAAAATCTATAACATTGCAGAACAAAAATGATGGTGATGAAAAATTGGCTTACTGTTCCAACTGCTCACATGGGAAAAAGTTCACCTTTTTCAAGAGATGGGGTATGTACAGCAAACCCAGCGGACCCACGATTCCAAGACGATGATGACGCTGACGGTGGTCTGTATTTTGTTGCCGATTTGGGTTCTCTTGGAATCTTCACACCCAACCCAAATGCTCCGTTTATCATAAGACACAAGATACTACACGGACTTGTCATAGAAAATGTTTATTTGCGAATTTTCGTATAAAAAAAAAAAAATTATTGAGATTTTGTCAAAGTTTTTTTTAAATTTTTTTTCGAATAACGTCTCACAAAATAATGGTAATTACATTACCTACCTAATTTCGTTAACTTTTAATAATTATAGTTTATTTATTTTATTGGTCAATTTTTCTACTAGGATATTCTCACGTAAAATACCTTCTTTTTTTTTACTGTAGTTAAAAAGTTAAATGTATATAAATTTAGTTAATGTGCTTAAAAGGTTAAAATTTAAATTTTAATATAAGTCATCAAATTTAAACAATGTGGGTCATTATTTTGTTTTGTTTTATTGATGGTTATAAGATTGATGATTGAGCCGAGTTATTCCAGTTCAACTTGGAACACGAGCCGAGTTTGAATAATTTTTTTACACTCATTTAAAAAACGAGCTTAACAGGCTCAACTCGAGTTCGCAAAATTCTTCTTGTTTATATATAAAATAGTTGAGTTATTTAAGCTCGGTTTAGATTCGACTTGTTTGGGCTCAATTCGGGCTTGCTTATTTTTGAAATAAGTCAAACTTGAACAATTTTTTAAACTCGTTTAAAAAAATAAACTCGCCACAAAGGTCGGCTCGATTATCAGCCTTAGAATTTTCATATTAAGTATATCTATTAACTTTTTAATAAATAGAGTTAATTTATTTTATAGTTCATTTTTTCTTGGTCAAAGTTTTTTTTTTAAGTTATACTTGCCTAGAAAACAAAAACGTCCTTTAATGATTCATTTTTTATTAAACAACCCAAATAGATGAAATAAATCAAACACTTGTAATTAAATCATGTCCTTGTTCTTATTAGAAAATAGCTTATATTAAGAAGGAATATAACTCCTTGGTAGGAATATATGCATAGGAAGAATAGGTTTGGCAAATAATAGAATTTGATATATGAATGGATGGATAGATGAACCTATTTGAGTTTCTAATATTATGAATGTTAGCTCTAATTGAGTGGTTGTTCTAAGGTTGGTGGAATGAAATCAATCTTCTTCCTAATTTTGGGGTTTGGGGGCAAAATGGTTGAAAATAAGGGTTGTATGATAATCTGAGTAACTTGAGTTTAACTTGACTTTTATTTGTTAAAATACAAATTGATTGAATTCGACTAAATTTTTAAATTCATCTTATAAACAAGTCAAATATAACCAACGTCGTGATTAATTCAAATAGATTGAACACGACTTTAATAGATTGTCATTTATAACATCACCCCTATTTCAAATATGACCAATACCAAACTTATCTCTAAATAACTCTAAATCATATATGTTTCTCTTTCTCTCTCCCCTAGATGTTGAACTTTTAGGATTTGATTTATGGTTAATTTTCATCAAAAAAAATTAAGAATGCTTATTTTGTACCTTTAAAAATTAAATTTTGAACATTATACTCTCAATGTATTAAAAGTGTTACAATGTAACCATTTCATTAACTTTAGTTATTTATTTCGTAAAAAATTACTCTGTTGATATTGACAGAATGAACCACAAAAGGTAAAGAAAGAGTCATATTACAACACTTTTAATACATTAATAATACAATGTAAAAATTTTATAATTTGAAGATACAAAATAAAATTCACCCAAAAATTTAAACTCAATAGTCAAGTTCAGCTAGAACTTTTTCAATTGAAATCAAGCAATATCTGAGCAAACTCAAATTAAATAGATTCGACTCGACCAACCCACTCCCCAATTAGGACCAAGTTGCATGGTAGCCGCCCAATTTCTGGTAGAACCCTTTTAACTTGGAGCAAAACGACACAAGCATATTGTCAAGAAGCCAACATGGGCGATTTCTAAGGTGTGGTTTAATGATTGATGCATTTGGATAAACAGATAAGAAAAAGACTTTCTTTTCGTTTTGTTTTTTGACCTTTTTGGTTTGTTTTTCATAGCCTTGTTTGAATAGCTTCCACCGGCACATTTATAGCCAAAAAAAAAAAAAAGTACTTATTTTTGCAATCAATTTTATAAAACTTCACTAAAGGCACAAGATTCTTGCCATTGTAAAGTCTAAAAAAAGTTAGATTCACACAGCCTTGCTCTTACGAGCAGAGACATTATTTATGTGATTCGAATATGGTTAAAAGGTTAAAATTTAAATCTTAATATAAGTCGTCTAGACCATTATTTTGTTTTGTTCTATAGATGGTTATAGGATTGATAATTGAGCCGAGTTACTCGGGCTCAACTCGGATAAAACTCGACTCGGAACACGAGCCAAGTTTAAATAATTTTTTTACACTCATTTAGAAAACGAGCTTAATAGGCTCAACTCAAGTTCGCAAAATTTAGCTTGTTTGTATATAAAATAGTTGAGTTATTTAGGCTCGGTTTAAATTTAGCTTGTTTTGGGCTCGACTCAAACTTGACTCATTTTTGAAATAAGTCAAGCTTGAACAATTTTTTAGACTCGTTTAAAAAAATGAACTCGTTGCAAAGGTCGGCTCGATTATAAGCCCTAAATGGTTGTGCTTCAATATTCGAGTAGGAAATTTTTGCATGTTTTTTAAAAAATGTTATAGAATTTCATATTAAGAATATCTGTCAACTTTTTAATAAATAGAGTTAATTTATTTTATAATTCATTTTTTCTATGTCAGTTTTTTTTTTTTGGGTTAGTTGGTCAAAGTTATTCTTACCTAGAAAACAAAAACGTCCTTTGATGATTCATTTTTTTATTAAACAACCCAAATAGATGAAACAAATCAAACACTTGTAATTAAATCATGTCCTTGTTCTTATAAGGAAATAGATTATATTAAGAAGGAATATAACTCCTTGGTAGGAATATATGCATAGGAAGAATAGGTTTGGCAAATAATAGAATTTGATATATGAATGGATGGATAGATGAACCTATTTGAGCTTCTAATATTACGAATGTTAGCTCTAATTGAGTGGTTGTTCTAAGGTTGGTGGAATGAAATCAATCTTCTTCCTAATTTTGGGGTTTGGGGGAAAAAATGGTTGGAAATAAGGGTTGTATGATAATTGGAGTAACTCGAGTTTAACTTGATTTCTATTCGTTAAAATACAAATTGAACGAATTCACTAAATTTTTATATTCATCTTATAAATAAGTCAAATCTAACTAACGTCGTGATTAATTCAAATAGATTGAACACGACTTTAATAGATTGTCATTTATAACATCACCCCTATTTCAAATATGATCAATACCAAACTTATCTCTAAATAACTCTAAACCATATATGTTTCTCTCTCTCTCCCCCACATGTTGAACTTTTAGGATTTGATTTTTGCTTAATTTTTAAAATTACCTTTTGCACCTCAAAAAAATTAAGAATTCTTATTTTGTACTTTTAAAAATTAAATTTTGTACATTATACTCTCAATGTATTAAAAGTGTTACAATGTGACCATTCCATTAACTTTAGTTATTTATTTCATCAAAAATCACTCCGTTGATATTGACAGAATGAACAACAGAAGGTAAATAAAGAGTAATATTGCACCACTTCTAATATATTAATAATATAGTGTAAAAATTTTAAATTTTGAAGATATAAAATAAAATTTCTTAATTTTTTTAGGTGGTAAAATATAATTCACCCAAAATTTAAACTCAATAGTGAAGTTCAGCTGGAACTTTTTTGATCGAAATCAAGCAATATCTAAGCAGACTTAAATTAGAGAAATTCGACTCCACCAACCCACTTTTCAATTGGGACCAAGTTGCATGGTAGCCGCCAATTTCTGGTAGAACCCTTTTAACTTGAAGCAAAACTACACAAGCATATTGGCAAGAAGCCAACATGGGCAATTTCTATGGAGTGGTTTAGTGATCGATCCATTTGGGTAAACAGATAAGAAAAAGACTTTCTTTTCGTTTTGTTTTTTACCTTTTGGTTTGTTTTTCATAGCCTTGTTTGAATAGCTTCCACCGGCAAATTTATAGCCCAAAAAAAAAAATACTTGTTTTTGCAATCAATTTTATATAATTTCACTAAAAGGCAGTGCGCGAGATTCCTACAATTGTAGAGTCTAAAGAAAGTTGTATTCACAGAGTCTTACTCTTACACACAAAGATACTATTTGAATTCGTGATCTCCAGATCACAATGAAACAATCTTAGTAATGTGTTAAAACTCACTCTCTTCTATATAACTTCACTAATTTGACAAATTCTTTATTTATGTTTCTTTGAAGATGGTTTAAGTTCTTTATTTTCTAAAAATTACCCTCCTCACAATTTTTTTTTTCTATTCTTATTCTATGTTATTTTTTAAGTTCTTGCGTGTGCTTAATTTGACAATATCAATTTTCAACGATGAATGAGATTTGACTTGCACAAATTCGCGTGCCAATATTAAAGTATTGGGAGAATTACATTTAGACTTCTAAGATTTGTCATTTAATTATTCAGATCCTCTGACATTTGATAAATTATATCCAAACCCCCTAACAATTGTACATGCATAACATTTAGACCCCTGCCATTAAATGTCTGTTAGTATATTCGTTAATAAATTATATTCAGATCCCCTGAAATTTATAAGCGTATAATACTTAAACCTCTCAAATTTAAAATATTATACTTAAATAAAAAATAATTCAATCAAAGATTAAATATTAAATATTTTAAATTTTAAAATAAAAATTTATGTTCTATAGTATCATTTATTGAAATAAAATCAAAAATAAAAAGTCAATTTTTTCTTAGAAAATCCTAATAACTATACTAATTATAATTTTTTAAGAAAAAAAATTAAAATTTTAATTTTAATTTTATTTTAAATGTCATGAGGTCTGAGTGATAAAGTGACAAATCTCAAGAGATCTGAAAGTAATTTGTCCCTAAAAATTGGGTTTTTTTTTTGCCGGGGGGGTTGGGTTTGCTTGTTCTTTTGGGTCAACTGTGAGGGGGAGTGTCAATGTTTTTGTTGAAACTAATAAAGGGTGGGATTACTATCCATTAAACAAAGCAACATAGAATAAGAATTATTAGCTGCCTAGAATATGAATTACCTACCAACTTGTTCACCAACCTTTTGACATTAAAGACGCTAAAGTGAACAATATCATGAAAACTATATTATAGAAAGGAAAAATATTTTGGTCTAGGTTCAAATATCTTAAAAAGTATGGGGTCACCGTGGGTCCATCCAAAAAGTATCGGGTCCACATCTAAAAATTGTGGGTTCAAATTTAATGACCATACCACTTTGCCCAAATAATATCTAAGTCTCTAATCTTCCAATAACTACAATTAATAGGGAACCATATCCATCTTATGGATAAGGGCTCACAACTATACCCACTAAGCTGTCACATTTTTCTCATAGATAATTACAATTTGGAAAGAAAAAAAAAATGATATACAGATAAAAAATTATATTGTGTAGGTAGGGTAGGATTTGCTTCATTTATGGGGCCAGTTTGACCATAGCATTTGAGGATGAGTTGAACTCAGGTCACAATGAACCAAGCTTATCGATTCAAAGAGAAAGAAAGCACCACCGATCTCTAATTAGTGTGGATGTAAGTGATTATGGCTATAGATCAGCGTGAGACGATAGCTTTTTACTAAGCCAAAGTGGTGATAATACGAATGTTGACTCATTAAGACAGATTTTTTTTGAAAAATTAAAAATTCGAGTAATGTTAGGATTTGAGCCGATTAAAATTCGATTCAAGCTGATTAAATTTTATTTTTTTTACGTATTAAAATTCAAGTCGATTTGAACTCTACCTGAACTATTAGTGCCAATTAAAATTAGTTTTGAGTCAATTAAAATTTATATTTTTTTACTTATTAAAATTTGTGTCAATTAAAATTCGATTCAAGTTAGATTAAAATTAATTTTTTACGTATTAAAATTTAAGTCGATTAAAATTTATATTTTTTTATGTATCAAAATTTTGGCTAATTAAAATTTAGTGAAAATTGGGGTGGAGTCCTCCTAGATGGACTTATAATGACTTGAGTCCGACAGGAAAACTTATTTGGGATAAGTCCGTTTTTAAACTTATATGTAGGTACTTAAGTCCACTTTTTTTTTTTAATTTCAAAAATACCCCTAACGATATTAATTTTGTTCAATTATAGAAAGCAAAAGTTAGTTCATTGAAATATATATGGAAGATATGCTTGCCTGATTTTATGATAGTAATTGTCTGTCACAATCTTTCCATAATATTTGAAATTCAAATTCTTATTCATTATTCGCATGTTACACACTGGTCAAATTGAAAATCAAAATCCACCGCCATGATTGAAAAAACTCGAAAAATTGTCCATGAAACACCAACAAAAATAGAGGAAGTGACGCTAGTTTTCAATGTATCGGAGGCAGAGAAAGCCTCTACCACCACCACGGAGAAAGAAGCACCACCACATCGTGAGCCAAAGCCAGAGAAACCTGCCTCCGTGGAAGAAGTAGTCGAGGTCGAGAAGGAAAAAGAAGAAGAGAAGATCACCGAATCGGCTTCGTTCAAAGAAGCAAGAAGCTTAGTTGGTGAACTTCCTGACCCTAAAAAGAAGGCCTTGAATGAACTCAAAGAGCAGGTTCAGGAGCAAGTTCCTACAATACCATTTGAGATCAACATCTCCACAATACCCCAAAGGTGTTCGACAAAATGCCCTGAAGTATGTTACTAATTTTTTTTTTTTGCGCATGTTACTATTTTTTTTTTTTTGCGCATGTTACTACTTTTTTGGATGATTGGTAAGATTTCGATTTAGGTCTCAATTTAGTTGGTTGTGTATTTTTGTAAAAAGGACAACGTTATACTAGTACAAATTTTTTTTCATGCTACTATTTCTGTTTTGTTCATATTATTACCTTTTTTTCATATTACTATTTTTTATTAAACATGTTTTTATTTTTTATTTTTGATAAGCATGTTACTGTTAATATTGAATGTTAATATCTTTTCAAAAATATCAATATTCAATGTTATTATTTTTTTTTCAAATATTAATATACAATGTTACTATGTTTTTGTGTTTAAATTGTACTATTTTTAATTTTTGAATGTTACCATTTTTTATTTTTAATGTTAATATAAGTATTTCAAATATTAACATACAATATTACTATTTTTTATTTTTTAATGATACTATTTTTTGTGTTTAAATGATATTGATTTTTGTGTTTAAATGATACCTTTTTTTTCGTATTTGAATGTTATTATTTTTTATTTTTAATGTTACTATATATGAAAGATAAATTTTTTTAATATTAGTCAAACTCCTAAAATTTAAAAATTTTTAATTTTTAATTTTATTTCAATTCTAAAAAGAATGGATAATATGATAAAATTAATAAAAAATAAATTTCATAACAAATAAATTTTCTTGACGGACTTAAGTCCAAACAAGTTTGTATAGGGGAACTGACCTTCAAATTTTCCTAAATTTAATGCGAGTTAATTAAAATTTGATTCGTCATTTTTAATCGGCTCAAATTTTAATATGTAAAAAAAATATAATTTTTAATCAACTCAAATTTTAATACGTAAACAATAAATTTTAATTAGCTTAAATTGAATTTTAATTGGCCAAAATTTTAATAAGTAAAAAAATTTAGAAAATAGAGTAAGCCTCATTAAAGATATACCTATTTAGAGAGGGTATAGATGATGTTTTTTCTAAAATATATCATGAGTAATTTAATAAAATTACATTCTAGTTAACAACTTTAATTTAATAGAGGGTGTCAGTGAAGATTCAAAAAATAGAGAGAATGTTCTTGAAGATATGATAAACTAGCGGGAATATGACTGAAATTTCCCCCAAAAAAAAAAAAAATCGTCAGAACACCACTATTGTATCCATACCGTTATGCTAGTCTCAACAGAAGAATTCCACAAGGTATAAGACTCTCACCTCGCATGTCCAGTACTGGCTATGATATGGTTGGAGCCAAGACAAAGGTACAGAAGTTGCACTTGAAAAGGCTATCAGCCTAGTATCAGCTCATGCATCACCTGAAGCCACCAACAAGGTAACAGGCACATGCCACAGGAAAATCCCAGATTTATGTGCCCCATGAAGTACATGATAACGAATGATAAAGCAGAAATAGGGCAAGAAAAATTAACAGCAGTGAAAAAATCAAGTAAATTCCAGGAGGATGAATAGAGTGGAGCTATTTCTAAGATATTCTGCATATAATTTAGTTGATAAAGACAGACAAGTAGGTTTAAGAAACTACAGACCACAAAATTCCAGTGCACCAGTCTTGCTTTCTCATCCATAACACAAAGGGAATAAGAACTGAAAAGTCCAGTGCACCTACCTAATGAAAGGACTGGTATAAGCCTTTGGGATAATGAAGTTTGAACCACTCTTGTGAAAACTCCATTGCTCCTGTCTGGTAGAAGGACAATAATAGACCTTCAAGATAATTGAAAAAATAAATGAGAGCCGATGAACAATACTTTAGGACAAGAAAATCTTAACAAAATTTCTTATTCATGTTCATTCAGTACCAAATGTTTTTGACCTGATTTATAGCTTTCATTTCAGGTAAGATATCACCATCGATATTAGATGTACTCAACTAACAAAGAGATGAGAAATTTCAAATTATAGAGAGATTTTGTAGGAAACTTGTATCCAGTGACTTACTGCTGACTGAATCTCGGAAGAGCATATCTCTTGAAAATGGGAGCAACTCCTTTTGCCTTGCCACTATTACAATAGCAACTACTGATTCCTCTGAAACTTCAACCTCCTCCATAATGTCCACAGGCTGAGTGGACCACACAAAGCATTAACTGTAAATGTATGATGTTTCATAGATCTAATATACTTTGATATGACAGCCCCTATCAAGATGAAAAAACTGCAAATAGGATGAAAAATGGCATTCAAAATATTGGCTGAATAACTGACGTTATATCCTCATGTTAATTCCAATAATGTTGGGACGAGATTTTGTCGAGTTGAGTTGAATTTATAATAGAAATTCGGCATTTAGGGCACGAGAACAACAAAAGCTTTTTTCTTATTGATACTCTCCTTATTATACATAATCCATTACAATAAAGAATACAAGTAATAATGCAATAGCAAGAACGGAACTTTAAAATGCGGGTGCGCTAGGCATCCAACAAACTAATGATCAGAAAACCAAACAGAGAAAAAAGCACACAAGTACAAGCTATTCCAAGGAATTTATCAGGTCTCTAAACTTAAACACCAGCCAATCAGCTTTAGCAGCAACAGTCTCCCGAAGTTGCACTCCCCCATAGCAAATAAACAAGTCAGCACCTCCTGGTTGTCGAGCCTACGCAAAAGACAGAAGGAAAAACATTTTTTTGTAAGATAGAGTCCACTTTTATTAGATAACCTACTGGACACAAATTGATGAGTCAAATGTTTAGAGAGACATAGACTTAGTGGTACATTATAGACCAATTTTATATGATTTGCAAGGTGGTTTGTTTCAAAGCAGTCGGGTCAATGAGTTTTATCGAACATTCATATTTAAGTAAATTGTGGCAATTAGAGACTGAAAAATCATTTTTTTTTGACATGTATTCAGATGTATCTAGTTGATCGCTTCAAATAAAAACATTATGCATATTACATATGAAAAATATCAAAGATAGGATGACATTTGAAACCACGAAAGAAAGACGCCAGTAGGGAAGGGAACAGGGTTTTGATCAGTAGTTTGGCAATGAGGATCTGCCAAAAGTCTACAACTAGGAATGCAATTTAAGATTCTCACCTCAAGATCAGTTGCGTCATCCCCAATCATGATTAATGATTGGTATCCATGAGCCTGAAGAGTTAAATAAGCTTTACCATAAATATTTTTCAAAAACAAATCTGAAACAAACATCAAATTGACTGATCATCTACAGTGCTTCGACAAGCTTTTGTCTACAATTCTCAAGACGACATGAAATGAACAACTTCACTAACCGTCCTTATATGTTGAACTGCAGTAGCTTTCCCTCCACTCCTTGAAGTTGGCTCATTTGTATCAAACCCCAAAAACTCTCCAGAGCTCAGAAACAGCAGTTTATTGGCAAAAATGTTTTCAAGCGGTATGCCAAGAATAGATGCAATGGGCTTCAAGGGAATGATTGTGGTTAGCAATTATTACATCAATCTAGACGTACAATATATAAGTCTTTATAAAACTTATATATTCACATTCAGTGTATTTGGTATCTTAAATCTTAGAACACCCACATAACAGTAGAACTTGTCCCAAATGAATTACTGTGAGCAAAATACTCACAATAGAAACCATCACATGGTGAGAAAATTTGTCAAGAGGGTATTAGCACACATTACGTTTGAGAGGATTTATAAAACTCTTAGGCAAGAGCCTATTAGAAAAAAAATTGAGAGGATTTCAAGAGGGTATTAGAGCCTATAAGGAAAGAGCTTTATAAGTTTAACTTTTAGGGGTCATCAACCAAAAGATCAAGTTACTGAACCCAGAAAAATCTATGCTAAACAATGTTAAGGAAATTCGTTTAGATAAATGCCATAATGGAAGAACAAAAGAGGCAGAGAATTCAACAGCTTCCACAACGTTCAACAACATACATTGATCATTTGGCGAAAGCCTCCAGAGACCAGATAGATGCTTGTACCATTATCCCTCAGCTGCTTGATCAATTCATCTAATCCAGGAGAAATTCTACAAATTGAAGAGCAGAAACAGGATGAGTTCATCAAGCAAATTAAAACCATTATACTCACAAAGGTTTCACATATCCAAAAAAAGGTAAGAGTTGATGCATGGTAAAGTAATTCGTCATTTAAACCGGGGTGGTGTGTTTCTACCGTGTTGTAAAGAAAATAATCCGCCCTCAATTAGACTTCGACAAGTAAATTTGTTACAGCATTTTTCAAGATAAGGTTCATAGTCTCCATCATATCTTGGCAATTACAGCAATGCCTGGATTGCACACTTCCACTTTTTTGCTAAATACTATGTGAAGACAATGACTGATTTAATGAGACATGGGAATTTTGAAGCCCCCTAAATCAAACAAAGAAGCAACCCAAGATGTACGATATGCTTCTGATAAGAAAATGCAGTTCCCACACCTTGGAGGTCTCTTCTCAAGGAAATCCTGGACTTGAGCCAGCGAAGGGTTAAAGAGAGAGAGTCTGGCAGCCAAAGCTTCCTCAAAAAGCACAGAACCATTCATTGCCCTGGCAAAAAGCCAAGGAAAAAAGAATTGTCAAACTGTTAGATTATCAAAACAACTAGGCATCGTCTACTGTGTAAGAAGAGAGAAATCCAACCCAGTAGTCCACTCTGCAACCGCCTTTTCAACTCCACAAAATTTTGCAAGTTCATCAATACCCTCATCTAGGCAAACTGTGCTGTCCACATCAAAGCATACGGCTTTGGCATTTCACCACACCTCAAGAACCTCTATTACAACAAGAAAGCACCCATCAAGCAGAGCACTCTATTTTTAAAGGCCATGAACTGTTATGTAAAATCCACTACTCTAGTAATCTCAAACTCATCCTTCAGCTTAACCGATGGTTTATTTAATTTAATCATAAATACTAAAATCTTTCGGTGAAAATAATGCAAATATCAACTTCGTTACTCTACAAACCTAATTTCACTGAATTAAAGGTTATTAATAAAACCTAGTTTTCAACATATAAAAAGCGTGAACATATATTGAGCTGATGAATATAACCTTTGGATGGTAATGTGTTGTCGAAGCGGCTCATTGTTGATGCTTCTAGTGGTTGAACTGAAGCAGCTACCGAATTGAATGATTTTGGTTGTTCCATCCTCCCAATTGGACTAACAGACACTCTTTTTGTCGCTTTCTGAATAAATTTAGGAAGAAAACAAGAATATTGTTGCCTGCGATAAGCACGAACCGGGCTAATTCGTGCACTAATCAACCCTTCTATCAGATTATCTGCCATTAACAAATTGAAGTAGACCTATTTAAACAAAATTACAATCCCAATTACTTGCAACAAACTGCAAAATAATAATAAAAGCACCTAACGATCACACACAATAACACAACACAAAAAATGATTAGTAATCAAATGATTCGATCCGAAAAGAAACCAAAAAACATCAACACAACAACCCTTTAGCCAAAACCCAGCATCTAACAATAGAAAATTTCAAACACACTAAAATTTTGTGGGTTTATAAACATGAGCATAGAAAAATATTGGAACAATAAATGTGAGAAAAATACAAATTTAATCTATTGTGAGTTGAAAAAATAAGAAAAGAAATAGATATTTATGTACCCTTTTGGCTTTTCTTCTACTTTCTGCTCAGATCTCTAGTTTCTATAACTTAGATTTGCTACCACTATGAAGCACGAATACGGATTTGAGATACAGATGCAGTAAGATACGTCCATAAAATATATATTTTTCAAAATTTTATTATTATATTTAATGTAATAATTATGATTTATAAAGTGAATCACACATCTACCAAAGATATATATTAATAACTAACTATTCTATCATTCATAAATCATACATTCTATATTACATACATATTGCATAATATCAAGTCCATGCTTAAACAAAAGAAACCATCCAATTACAAGTCAAGCAACAAAAACTTGAAATTTGGAATATTATTCTATTACAAGTCAAGCAACAAAGCAGTCCCCTCTTGTTACTAAGAGGTTTCCCTAATTCAAGGCTCAAAAGGAGTGCTAATCACTGGTAAAAGGAAAAAGAGACGATAGAGAGACAGAAAAATAGAGTGAGAGGAGAGAGCTTACCCGATATACTTGGACATAGAGAGATAGGATGTTTTCCGTCGTCAAGAGATGCTATCGGGTCAAATACAGGTCGTTGGAGGTGAAAGAGGAGATACCTGTCGTCGATCGGCGTCAAATATAGTCAGTCAGTCAATCGTCAGAGAGAGAGAGAGCTAGAGAGTCAATCGATCGTCGACTGATGGGGGGCTATGGAATTAGGGTTTTATATTTTTTTTTTTTGCTAACAAGGCCCAAACATATTTGTTTTTGTGTCCCTATACTTTTTAAAAAATTTAAATAATACTCTCTCGTATCCTTATGTATATCCAGAGCGTATCTCATTCATATCCAAATGGCTCGTTTGGTAGACGTATTATGAGGGGATTAAATATTAGATTGTAATATTTTTTATTTAATCGAGCCCAATACTTTGTTTGGTAAACAAATTTGATACCATATTAATTTTAAAAACGTATACTTACGCTGCGTTTGGTACGCAGTAATGCATTTATGTAGGAATGGAAAACACATGGGAATGTAATAGACATGGGAATGGAATGGAATGTGTATTACCATTCCAATGTTTGGCAATTAATTAGGATTAAGTCTTGGAATGGAATGCCCATTCCATTCCAAAGTTTAGATAAAATAATTTCTATTGGAATGAAATGAAATTTAACTAAAATAACTTTTTAAATAAAATTTTCAACTTACTGCATACTTCATTATAATAAATATTTCTGTTAATTTTAAAATTTGACAAATTAGATTAAATATGAAGTAAATATAGTCACAAAGAATCACATAATGAAAAAATTTACAAAAAAATAATAAAAATCAATAATAAACAACAAATAAATAAAAAATAGAAATGTGATACGTTCATCAATATCCTACATATTCCTTCATGAATGGTACTCATTCAACACACAATGGCTATGATCAACCTACAAAAATGTGTGCCTGTTTCTTCTACCATAATTCTTTAACGTGGACAATCTTATACAAATACACCTAATTTTCAAAATTTGACAAATACAATAAAATGTAATTAACCAAGTAACTTTTTCATGGAAAACATAATTAAACTCAAGCTTAACAGATAAGAGTAACACAAGTGTTTCATAGACAAAAAAAAAACTAAAAAATATGAAAGAATCAAAAATCCATTCTGCCTAAAAACAGTAGAGACAATTATACTGCTAATTTGACAGCACTTCAACCGCATAAAATATAGCACAGATATTCCATGAATAACTGGATAACAAAAGCATTGTTTAGGCTGATAAATTGGACTTCCCAAAGACTTAAAAAAACTAAAGTTCATTACTTAGAACCATTAGATCATTCTACCCACATTTATTACTAAACAGCTCAACTTGAATTGGTACGAATAATCACAAAATCACATAAATAACATAAGTGGCTAAACAAAAGTTCATTACCAAGTTAGATTTCCCCTCATTGAGGGTGCTCAGAGGGATGAACCGAATATATACCCAACTAAAGAACAGCCAAAAAATTTTACATTCGAATATAAGGCCAAGACAACTTTGAGCAAAAAATTAAATTAGTAATTCTTTTTCTCTGTGAGAGTGAGTTTTACAGTAGTAAGTAAACCATGGTTACCTGGATCGCCGGTCACTTTGGTACGTAGTATGTGTACGGGTGCGGGATACGTTATTTTATGTGGTAAGGGTACGCTTAGTCGGTATGCTAATTGGGGTCGTGGTTCGTTTTGAAATCTTATTTGGTTCGTTTATACTATGGTAAGAAATTATATATAAGTATGCATCCATACACACATGGTGCGTTATAATTTTTTCATGTCGTAGTTTTCAATATTTTTTTTAATTATGTGTGTATTTTGTATTTATTTCAAAAGAACTAAGTGAAATTAAGATTCAAGACCCATAACAATATGCCATCTAATAATCATGAACAAAAAAAATAATAGTTGCATATTTGTATTACGAGAAAAATCAAATCAAAACAATCATACATTTAACGATCATTAAAACAAAAAATAAAGCACTAGTTAGTAATTAAGTAGCTTTCAACTTGATCAAATAATTAAAATAAAAATCTTTAACCTGCCCCAAAATATAACAACTGAATAGTAAAATAGTCGGTTCACCAAAAAAAAAAAGATAAAAGAGTCTTTATATTGGGCGCTGGGCGGTGAGGAGAAGTGGAGAACTCCACTATTCATCGCTGAAGAGTCCACTGTTCATCGCTGAATAGTCCCTTCGGAGCAACGTTCTTCCTTCTCTTCCTCCCGTCGACTTCTCTTTCTGTACAGTCCCCCATAGTAGATCTGAAAATCTAAGATATTTTTGCTTGCAACTCGAGCATGGTTTGACCCTACCAATTTTTACGAAGACGATGGAGAAATTACTGTTGCAGTGACTATGGTTGTGCGAGATCGAGATGAAGGTGCGACCGTGGTGTGAAATCCACACCTACATCCTCGCTGGTTGAATTCCAGGTAGGTATTTCATCTGCCATCTTCAAAAATATATGTGTTGCATTCTGTGTTTTTTTTTTTTTTGGAAATATTGGAATAAATTTGGCGTTTAGCATATGAATTTGGGGTGGGTAATTGCTAGTTAGGGCAACAAGTTGGGGACGCTGGTTTTGCCGAACTAGTAAGCAAACGTACCCCGTTTGGGGTCGTTCGAACCAGATCGTGGTTTGCCTATTGTAGTGACGATCCTGGTAACCGTGAAGTAAACCACATCATATTTGTGCGTTTTGTCTTTCAGATGATAGTGGTTTAGCCAGAAAATTTGATAAGAAACAGAAATTAAAAAGAAAACACAGATCAACTCAAAAAGCCCTTACTTTGAACACAAACAGATGCTTCTTTATCTAAATTCAGCTAAATCTAAAGTCTCAGACATTTCTCTAATTTCTCTCTCTCTCTCTTCCCTATCAAAACCCACATTACAAAATTCGCTCAGATTTCAAATTTGCAACTCAAAACCTGGATAATTATCACACAAAATTATTATATTCCAAACTCAGGTTGAAATTCTATCGAACCTCCCAAAGCACAAATCTACCAAAGAAACCAACTCAACAATTCATTACAAGTACATGGTCAAACAATTGATGAAGAAAATTTCTGAAAAGAAAGGAGCTGGCATAGGAAAAAAAAGATGCAACTAAAAGGACCACAATCAAGACATACAACAAGCAATCGACAACAAATAATTACTAGTTGTTGAAAAAATTTATGCAAAAAACTCAAAAAGATCAACAGTTCAGAAAAAAAGTTAAACCCCTTTAATTAAAGACAATTTCAAAAACTTCAAAACGAAACCCACAAATTATCTGTCATTTCAAAAACCGAAAACTTCTCAGTCCAAACACTTTGTTATTGAAAATGCATTACCAAATACCTGAATTGAAAATAAATCTTCAATTGACCAAATACCTGTATTTAATCCAAAATTTTATTTGATCAAAAGAGATAAGGTTCCGAGGAGTGAGAAAGAGACCTTGGGGAAGATTCGCTGCAGAGATCAGAGATCCAAGGCAAAAATCTAGGGTTTGGCTGGGGACTTTCGATTCAGCCCAAGACGCAGCTCGAGCCTACGATGCCGCTGCTCCTTCGCTTCAGGGACCCAAGGCCAAGATCAACTTTCCATTAACCACTCCTTCAAGAGCCTACGATGCCGGTGTTGCCGGATGAAAGAAGGGGTCGAATGGCATGGGCTCGGTAGAGAAGAGTTGAGAGGTGAGCAGAGAAGCGGAGGAGAGAAGGGAGATTTGGCGAGGGAGGTGCAAGTCGACGAGACTGGGATCGGGAGGAGTCGGGTTTAGTGGTTTTAAATTTGACTTCATTACTGATCGATTGAGAACGAGAAATACCATGTTTTAATTGGTACGGGTAATCTCATGTTTGCTGGATTAGTTATTCCTTTTGAATGAAAGGAAATGGGAATGAATTTTGACTATCACAAACCAAACAAGTGAATGGTCATTACTAAGTAATATTCGTTCCATTCCCTTCGTCTAATACCACAAACCAAACACAGCATTATTGTATATTTTTTATACATTAGATTTGTATTATAGATGTATTTTAATACCACTAAAATAAGTGATATTATAATCCAATTCAAACGTATTATTTTATACATTTACCATTATAACCCTCAACTGATAAAATTAAATTGTCATTAATATAACAAATACTGATTGAGAGTATTTTTATTAATTCAATATTAAAACGATTAAATAATTCTTTAACCAAACAACCGATTGAATTAAATAATTACTATATAACGTTTATGTTATGTATTACTAAATACTAAATAAAATTACGTATTATTCTAATATTCAATTTATTCTTGTCTTTTGTTCTTCTATATTGTATTAAACTAGATTATTTTATTTAATTCATTCATTTCTAATACGGCAACCAAATGAGACCAAAGCGTATCTAGCCATATCCAAAAATTAAATTTATTTTTTTAATTTTAAGATACTTCTCAGCCATATCAAATACGTATCCGACCTTATCGAATGCATAATCGTATCTGAAAAATATTCAATATCAATACTTTGACAAAAGTGATCGTGCTTCGTAGGCTACTAGATTCAGCTGGTAATTCGTTTCGTTTTCACGGCCATTTTTGAGTTTAAACTTTAAAAATAAGTTACGGTGTGTTGGAGCATAAGTGAAATAGTATGTACGTGACCTACACCCGCCTTTCTGATCCAAGGACAATGATGCCACCACGTATATTTTTCAAAACTCAATTGAATATTCTCCAAATTAAGGTTGTGGGTCTATGACGTCCAAATTTTTTTAAAAATTTAATGGTGAAGGGTTGGAATTGTGTCAGATTTTAGTATATTCTTATAAAAATAAGTCCTTTATCCAAATCAGATTTATTTATTAATTTATATTTAATAAATTATATTATATTGTGTATAATTTATAAAAAAAAACCTTAATTGTTTATTAATCGAGTTAATTTGTATTTAATAAATTATATTATATTGTGTATGATTTATAAAAAAACCTTAATTGTTTATTAATCAAGTTAAGTTGAATCAATCTATTTATGAACCGAGTGATTTAAAAAAGAATAAATTTTTAATAAATCGTGTTATATTTTAACATCCTTTTAAACTCGGCTCAAACACCAGCCCAACAAAGAGTGGATCAATGAATTACTGATTCAGTCATTGGATTTCTGATTCAATCATTAGATCAACTGATCAAATCAATCAAAAAATAAAAAATTATTAAAAATAATAACTCTGTTAAAAATATAGTATTTATAACCATAAATAAGTCTAAAAAAATAATTATAGAGCATGAAACTACAAAATAAATTACCTAAAAAGCACAAATACTGAGAAGGGTATCGTTTTCAATATAATACGAACATAAAAATACGATAAAATTAAAAAATATAACATGAATAAAACAAAAATACGAAACAAAGCATATTTTATATGAAAAATATTGACCCGCCCAGTTTGATTTCAATCGCAATCGCCCAGTTTAACGGTTCTGGGCGATTTAAGTAACCACCTCTATTTCTATCAAAGTCCATGCCACCAACAACCACTGCCAATAAAACATGGATGTAACAAATTTCTTGCTTAACAAAAAGCAATTTCCTGATCAGATGTTGCCTACAATAAATAATCTATTGGATTTTAAAAATCTGCTCACCTATAAACTAGTAACATGAAACGAAATGGTGTCATGAAAATAAAGGAGAATAATGTGATCAAACCACTCATTTAAGCCAGAGTTACCAATGGGAAAGGAAAAAAGATTTTAGAATATATTGAAATCACAGCGATGATTTTTCCGGGAAATGCAGTTCACCCAGGGAAATTATTAGCGTCACTGAACAGAAAAACTCTCAAAAGGTATACCACCAAGGGCAAACAAAGTCTTCACTACGGTTTTATTTCGTCACCGTCTGCTGAAGATTGCACAACTAGCCAGTCAATGCTGATGCTCCAGATATGATCTCAATCAGTTCAGTGGTGATAGATGCTTGACGAGTTCTAATTACAGAAGACAGTGAAATCAGATTGCATTCGTACAAATCAAATTAAAATTTCATGTTTTTTTGGTTCATTTCCCATAATAAAAAGAGATGGATAGGTGTGGTGGGAGGGTTGGCGTGTGCTGTTGTTCTGTGTGTGTGTGTGTGTGAGAGAGAGAGAGAGAGAGAGAGAGAGAACCTGTTATAAGTAAGTGTGAGGCGATCAAGCATATCGCCAGCATTTCTGCTGGAACTATCCATGGCAGACATCCTTGCTCCTTGCTCACTGCAAGCATTCTCCATAACCGCATTGAACATAACCTACAGAAATCAGAAAAAAATCTCAAGTTAAACAGAGTGTAGATAAAATGCTGGTACGATATTTTCCATAGAAATATGGCTAATTAAGCAGCATGAACTTTTCGCCCATGCTCAAATCCAATAATGTTGGAAAAATCAACAAATGTAGAAATTAAACGTCCCTTGACTAGCATGTGAGAGTCACACCTTAGATGGTTTTATGAAATCAAAATAATGCTGGCTACAGTCAAAATAAAACAATTGGGGAATGGGTTCTAGCCATGAAAGATGGGACCTACACAAGAAAACTGGAATTCTGTTAGGTTCTGAAGAACTTCTGACTTTGTTTCGCCACCTTCAATCTCATAGGAATCCAACTCACCAAGCTTTCCCCCAGATTCAGCTTCTCTCTCCACAACCTATACAAACAAAACATCAAATCAACTTCCACAAACAAAAGAACCCAAAATGAAATCAGTGTGGATTAATTAAGTCAGTGGAAACTAGTAACCTCAGGAGACAATAAGGTTGCCACTGTCGGCACAAAGGACACAACCGACTGGAACTTGTTGAAAACAACCCTCAAGGCATCATATTCCACGTTCTTTAGGATGTCATCTGCAAGCACAGAAACCTGCAAGGGCAACAAAATGGATAGAACATAAAGGCGGGTAAAGAGAGATAGCATCAACCATAAATCTAACTTTTGAAATACGTAAATTGTTAAGGTAGCTCAATATGCATTAACTTTTCTATTCCATCACATGCTATTTTAGTTCCACAGCTATTTTTCCCTCAGTGTATGAAGGGTGACTTAAGGAAATTCATATCGGTCCTCTCATCAAGAAAAGGGTGAGTGCACCTTGCACCTTTCATCTAGAAGAGAGTAAGTATGCCCTTGCAAGGAAGATTGTTTATTTTCTGGTCAACTCAGAGAGAAGAGTCAGAAGACCAATATGCTACACCGCCTAACTTTTTTTTCAGATAATTTGGCAAATTAACTGTAACATATCACCCCAGGAAATCAATAACAATAAATACTATATTCTGTTGGGATCCATCTGTAATTTATGAACATGTAAGTCAGGCTTCCCATCGGGAGTAACCATGTTATATGAAGTGAGGGAGAAAAGTGTTAAAATATGGAACTTCGCATGAAGTAACAGCCACCACTTTCACATGCTTCCTGTGTGCAATCTATAATAATGAGGTTGAATGAGTGGGGAAAACCAAGAGAGCATAAGCGGGGAAAATAAAGGAGAGCAAACATATGAACATGCATCCAACCACGGTGCACGTGAGGTATGTGTTTCTGTGTTGAGAAGAGGTTTGTGTAATGTGTAAAGAAGAAATATTTGAAATGTGTAGAGAAGCTATGCACAATGTATAGAGAAGAAAAGAAAATTAGAGAGAGACGATAGTTTTGTGAGGAAAAGAAGAGCAAACGAAGAGGAAAAAACTAAGGGAAAGAAATATGAAAGACATTCAAGAACCAAACGATGATATGTGAAGAAATTGAAGTATGCTGTTCCTGTGATAACAGAGATGTTGATATAAGCTGCTTGGAATGAGGATAAGGTAAGTGAGGTGGTTCACCATGTGCTCCATCCTAAATCTCTGCCTAGAATTTTTCCTTTCATTATTCTCCTGCATTTGCATTCCAGTTGCTGAAATACCTCTTGAATTTCCATTTAATATGTGGATGATATTTTCTGAAGATTATGGGATGGATTGTGGGAGCCAATAGTCCAAAGTCCCCCGGAGACCATTGTCAGGTAAGGTGTTAGATGACATGTTCAGTCTGTGTACATGTCTCACATACCATGTGGTTCGAGTCATTTTTTCTTCCTTGCACGACATGCATGCCTCTTCTTCACTCCTTACTCAAAATCACACACCTCAGATGAATACACACACGATTGTATACATGTCCACCATTTACGCTCTTATTTTTCTTTTCTTTTTCTTTCTCCAAGCATGGATACTCCAACATTTCCCTATCTGATAGGTATCAGATACGAATGTCCATTGAATATGTACGAAAGAGATCAGATACGACCAAATTTGTCTGAGGTATTTCTAAAATATTCTTTAATTTTGAGAAAGTTTAAGACACGCGAACGAAATGTTTACACCACGTCGGGGTAGAATATATGATATTTTTATTTTAAAAATAAGCCAATAAATAAAATAAGAGTTTGTTAAACACAAAAATACAGAAATCGTCGTGCAAGACAAAAAATAAAAATTAAACCTCAAAATGTCAAATCTACTCAAATATGTTATTTAACAAGCCCCTTGTATAAAGTCATTACTTTCAAATTTAAGATTAAACACATCTAGGAAGTGAAAGTAATAAATCATCTCAAATATCTTGAATGGATTGTGTTTTAGATGAGTTCTGCATTGGAATGATTGCATAACGAAGTTTATATTGTTGTATATGCTATACAATCTATTGCAATATAATTAGCTTTGTTTGCATGGATATTAATTTGTTCACTTATATATCTATAAATCATGGAGACTAAATTTATCATATAATATATCATTGCGAGGGTGAAACTTGGTGCAGTAGTAAGATTGCTCCATTGTGACCAAGGCTTCAACTAACACGATGAGACTGCATACTTCCAACACTCCCCAGATCCCGTAGTAGCATTGTGCCGCCCTAATATAGCATATAAGAAATATATGAGGCAATAAATACAAGAAACTCGCCTGGGTATAATTTAGAGGATTCTTCTGCAATTCTGTTATGGATATTTCAATGTCTTTCTTTGAGTCACGCACCAGTTGAGCCTTGGCTTTTTCTCCCAAAACGACATATTTGCTTAACTTTTCAGGACCTGTGGATTAGAATAACAATAAGCCAACAGTTCCAATCTTCTCTAATTGTTGTTAAATTCCCTATAGCAGTTGCTTGCAAAATACCAGAATTCAACTTATGGAGTCCCCTGCTTATCTTGACGGATGTAGAATTAATTCCACCACAGAGACCTTTGTCTGATGAAATCGTTACTACAACATTCTTCTTGATGTCAACACCTAATGCAACCGAAAAAAATATATATATTAAGAGAAATGCTACAAGAGGAGAAAACAAGGAAAAATACCAAAGGGGAACAATGCACATAATATGAGTAGTGGATACAAACAGACCTGTAAAGTACGTATTGCCACATCTATCTCAAGTAAGCAATAAAGTAAGTCAAATTCATAACAAAGTAATATTTCTCTTTTGTTGCCTTTTGTGCCTTACTAAGGTAATTTATTCTTAGAAGTAGAACCAACTTTCGATTTCAACCGAAATACAATTTCTCATGAGAGAGAGACCCACTGGCATCATAAGCATCAAAGTAGGGCAAAAATGAGTAGAAAAAAGGCTACGTGTAAATGATTAGAAAGTAATAGTGCTTAGTGTCCATGAGAAGAATTCCTTTGCTAAAGTAAAATACATTCTTTGTATTGTACAATGTGGTGGAATAAACATTTTAATATTCGATCAGTATAAGCATGGTGAAGAATATTTTGTTAAATATCAAGTCGAACTACCAATCGTTTTATCAGGCACTACCCCCATGTTATCACAGCTCATTTAGTCCACGGATTTTAGGATGGTCATCTTATTGAAGTAGAGCCTGCCGGTAATTCCAACCAAAGAAACATCAAGCCAGTTCACAGAGTTTTCTCATGCACCTCTACTCCCAGTGGAAGTGGATGCTACAATCACGATGCCAGATAGACACGTAAATCTCAAAAAGAAAATAAATTCTAAACCATTTTATTGCATCAAAGTCCTACTTAGAAAACTAAATCTGTCTAATTCTCGATATCGACTTTCATCACCGTCCAACTTCTAAACTTATATCTAGGGAGAAAATGGGTGCCTTGACGTTGAATGCATTCTCCAATTCCATGTTACAGTTCAGAATATATACTCTTGACCATTTCTGTGCTCCAATACAAACTGAAAGCAGTGACTAAAATTTCAATGATAAAATGTTAGGCAACAAAATCTGCACATGTCATGACCTTATTAAACAACATTTCAATATTCTTCTCCAATCTTGTTATGTGTTAACTAAATACTCACACAGCACACAATTTTATGCAAGAGCGTACTTGAGAAAACTGGCACCAGGTACATGCAGTCAAAGCATGACAATAACAATGTAGAATCCAAGAGTACGCAAGAAAGGTTGCCATTGAAAATCAATATATAGGAAGAATACAAGTATGCAACTGCTCTGATGATTAACATGTTGAAATGAGAAATTTTCTGATAATGAAGTAGGAAACTATAATGTCATGAAAATAGCAGATGCAGATTTATGGTGAAGTTTATTTACAAACATACTTGGTGTGTCACCAAGAAGGGCGGTGAAGGGCTGCCATAGACCACGAGAATTTTCAGCTTTAGTTTGAATTGCTCGCAGCTTAGAGGCGGCAACCATCTTCATAGCCTTCGTAATTTTTTGGATGTTCTTAACACTCTTCATCCGGTTTCGGACTGCATTTACAAGTGAAATTATGAGCAACTGAGGAGTAAATTTACTGAAATAAGTCTGATATCACCATGGAAAATGCAGCAAATACAAAAGAGTGACTCTCACCAATTTGAGTTGAAATATAACGAACTCCAAGGGTGGCCTGCTCCCTGCGCACCCATATAATTTTTTTCCGTTAATAAGTGGCAACCAGGGCAGACACAAAACTTCATAAAAGGTAAAGAAGTGCAGAAAAACACCAACGAGAGCATTGCAAAAGACAAAGATAAACATTTAATTGAATAAGACAACACATGACATTGTGTAAAGTCTTTACGCATGGACCTTAATAGTGGATAGGAGACAAGCCCAAGAGCCACACCTCCAGGTGTTCATTTATCTAATATTAATTAACAACACAATCCACATTTTATCCTAATATGGATTTTATTTATCATATCAATCTCATCCCATTTTGCAATACTGACTAAGAACTTTTAACTTCGCTTCCCCTAGTAAACTTCTACATTTTTTCCCTTTTTTTGGAAACAATAAGTTTTAGTTCACTACCTCCATCACCCGTCTCCATCCCAATCTATTTCTGTGACCTAGCAGATTTAGTTTACAAAATGTAATTAGGAATACTAACACATAAAACAATGAAGTTAGTAAAGACTATGATTAGAATGAAACTTAATATAACATGATTACAAGAAACTAGTTAGTTAAGGGAGAATGCAAACAGAAAATATTAGGTAACAAACCAATTAAACTAGAAAATATAATCATAGAAGTGACTAATGGATTATAGAAGCTAATAATACTAGACAATGTACAGCTGCTACAAGAAAATGAGCTAAAATCATACAATATAAGTTAAATTTTGCACGAATCCCTGACATTCGCCACAAATACATGACCATCCCTCACACTTGAAAAATGACATGGAGATACCAATCAAAATTAGTAATTGGTCTGGGAGTCTGAGTTAATGGAAATGGGGAAATGACTAATTTAATTTCCATTTACCTTGAACTAAGGTAAAAAGAAAAATCAAAATAAATAAATTAGTTCACACATTTACAGTTTCAAACTAGAAATATATGCCTCTGAAACAAAACCCCACCCAATCCCATTCGTTTGTCTATGAGAGAGAGACACACAGAGAACACCCCAACCTATCATCTCCGCCCCATCTACCCTTCGTCACCCCCACGCCATACTTAGTGTTGTTTTTCGTCAACCAGCATCGACTTGTTTGAGTGTTTTGTGATCTGATTGCTCTGTGGCCTTCAGATATTTCAAAAACCTCAGTTTTATCCTGCCATGTGAAGACGACATTTTGTGTACTACTACAGGTGATCTCTCACAATCAATCCACATGATTCAATTGCAAAAAAATCAGTTCTCGTTAGACAAAATCCCCAAAAATTGTAAAATTTTCGAGAAGTGCTTTTGCAAGTGACGAGCTTCGGTTGAATCCGAGTACAATTAAGCACAAAATAAACAATTAGATCCCACAGACAAATAGTTATGTACAGCACCCATACATATATAACTAGGCAGGCAAATATATATATACATATATATGAGACAGAGAGATCGTACTCCGAAGGACTGAGAGAGGAACGGAGTGCATTGGTAGGGTTAGGACGGATGAGAGGGGTAGCGAAACGCCTTCCCTCACGCCTTAACGCAGCCATCGCCATCTGATTCGTCCTGATCTGTCTGCTTCTGAAACCCTAGAGAGACTGGCGCAGATCGAATATTTGCTTCTTATGATTTTCAACAGCTCTAATGAGCTTCCGGTTCTAGCTATAAATGGTAGATAAATGTAATTCCTCCACTACTCTCGTTTGGGAAAAAATGTTACCACAATACATAGTTATCATAATAATAGATTTAAGAATTTTAATTTTACATTTTTAAAGATTAAATTCCTTACATTAAATTTTTAATATATTGAAAATGTTGTAAGGTGACTGCTGCTCGTTTCCTCTAAAACCATTCTCTTAAAGCTTGATGGTACAATGTAAAAACTATAATTTTTAAGAGTGTACAATAAATTTTTTTAGGATAATTATCATCCACACATTCTATATACATATCTTTACTAAGACTCTTTCTATTATTCAAAACTTAAAATATCACTGATACCGATCTAATTTATATTTGCGCAAATTATATATGTACTCTCTTGAAATTTTTCACTTAATCATATAGACTCCCTCAGATTTCTCAAGGTTTGGTTCTGTATAACACATAATTCCAATTCGTTAATGTTCGTTTGTCATTCCGTCAAACTTTGGTCATGTTAGCACATCTTTTTCATAAAATTTCCAAATTACCATATCTCACTCAAAAATAAAAAATAAAAAACCAAAAACTATTTAATCTCTTTAAAAACCCAACAATTAAATATCATATTCTCTCTTAGAACACATTGCCCACCGTCAAAAACTACACCACCATTCGCCTCCATCGTTGCACGAAACACCATTTATCTTGCATAGAACCCATGGTTCTGAATAACGGTAACGGTCACCGTAACTGCAAAGGTAACGTTGTAACGGACGCGGACTGAAACGGGCATTACGTAACGGTAAAGAAAACAAAATGCGTGAATTTTTTTTTCAACTCACAACCTGTCATAAAACATGAATATTTACATGTTTCAACTAAAAATCATGCAAATATGGGTGTTTAGTGATTTAGTGCATTTTATTATATCATAAATATGATAATAAAATATCATAAGTGTTAATAATATTTCTTAACTCACTATGTATCAGTGACCTTTCCATTAACAACAATTGAACAAATAAAATGCACAATTACAAATCTAACAATTTATTAAATGAAACATATTGATAAAACCAAAATGATTTTTAGAATTTTACAATACAATAAAAAAGAGAAAGCAATAGCATTACCTTTCAACAATCTCACCACCAAAAAGAACGACGCGGAGGATCCAAACTTTGAGATTGAGATTGATCTTGTTTACTTCCACTATCATCATTCCATCCTGTGGGCAACATATAAGTAAATGTTCCAAATTCAATTCCATCTTCTCGTGGTTGCTCTCCATATGTATGCAATGTCAAGTAATTGTTAGGGTTCAAAAGCCCTAAAGAATTATCTTGGGAATATAACAGTGGAGGGTAGTATTGAGGAGAATAATTATAAGGGTAGGATCTATAATTTTCAGTTGAATAATCTGATGATTGGTAGTTTTCATTACTACTACCATATGATGAATCACCAAGGATGAGATCACTCAAACTCTGCATAACACTAGACGAGGAATCTTCATATTCATTCCAATTTCTCGTATTTCTGCTTGTTTTTTTTTCACGCCATGATTCTTTCCCAAAAGCTTCTGGATCAACTCTAACCGCACTAAGTCCATGATTCCCGCGAAACGGTGAATCATGATAATGACCACTAATATCACCTTGAGCTGGAAGGTTACCCTCACAATTATAACCATAAATTTGGGTTAAACTAGTAACCCGATGACCTCCATCACCATCATCATCATCATCACCATCACCATCACTACCATCACCACCACCATCATCATTGCTACTACTACCACCATTATCATAAAATTAATAAATGTTAAGACACACAGTGATACACAATCTTTATTTTAAATAATTAATGAATTATGAACCCACAAAACATTCATTAAAATAATTAGTGCCTATACTAAAATTAGTTAATTGTTATTAAGGGCGTCAACTCTGACCCGTTGATACGAAATCGACACAAACGATTATAAAATTGACACAATTATTAAATATGCATAATAAATAATTTAGACTAATGTTTAATAATTAGAACACAATAATTTTTTTTTTTTTTTGTGGATCTGGACTTTTGACACGAACACGACATGATTAACACCGTTAATTGTGATACACATGTAAACTCAATTAAAATAATTAATAAATTGTATTAAAATTATTTAATTAAACACATGTTTAATTTGACCACAAATATATCTCAAACACAATTATAAATTTATAATATCTACAGATCTAAAGAGATAAGACAACATTACGTTATTAAAAAGTAAAAAAAAAAAAAAAAGGCGGTGAACTTACTGTCATTACATCTATAAAAACAAAAAGGAAAAAAAAAAGAAGAAGAAAGAGGCAGTGGGTAAGTCGATGGTGATAAGTCATTACATCCACAAAAAACAAAGACAAGATAAAAAAAAAGAAAGAAAGAAAAAGGTTGTGGTGGACTGGTGGGTAAGTCGGTGGTGAGTACTCTTAAGTCATTACATCCACAAAGAAAAGAAACCAAACCAAAAAAAAAAAAAAAAGAAGAGAGGCGGTGAACTTACCCCCAGGAGACGAGACCAAGACGATGGAGCAATGGAGAACAGGAGATCGATCGAGTCATCTTCGATTGTCTGAAGAAGCAGCAACCACAACAATTGGAAGAGAGCACAGATCTGGTTAAGTTTTCGAGCAAGGGTTAAAATTTTTGGAAGATTTACAAAAATTTTGAAAGATAACACAGATTTGATCTTATTTGAAAGATTTTGTACATGAATTTGAGTGAAGGATGAAAAATGAAAGAAGTTGGTTGAATTTGGGGTTGATATTTGGATTTTATACTCAAATTTTTGGGTTGTAACGGGTCAAAGCGGTCGTTACAAGTGTTACGCAACGGTAACGGCCGTTACGGCTGTGAATTTCATTCTCCCTGTTATAGCGGACCGTAATAAAATCGGAGTACGTCATTACTATTACGTAACGTCCGTTACGCACAGCAATGACCGATTTTCAATACCCTGATAGAACCACACCATCATCTACCTCTGGTAGTCTCAAAATCATATAGCAAACCCTGAATTGATGTTGTATTAAGTCTGAGACAAGAAACAATTGTGAGAGGGATGAATCAAGATTTGTTTATGGTATGAGTGGAGTTTTGGAGGAAGAAAGAGAGACGGGGGGTGGGAACAAGGTGATGTAGTGTGGAGGGAGGAGAAAGGCAGAAATGGGTGAAACCATGGAGGGAGGGGGAGAGAGACGGGGTGGTGGAAAGCTATGGTGGGTGGGGGAAAGAGAGAGAAGGGGTTTATGGCGAGGGGGTTTGCGTATAAGGGGAGTTTGGTGCGTAAGAGGGAAGTTTGGGGGGTCTGTGCAGGAAGGGAGCTTTGGGGGAGTTGGTTTTGCGTGTATGTGTGTAACAGAGAGAGAGGGGAGGGTTATGACGAGGGGGTGATCTACGTAGGAGAGGAGTTTAGGGTGAGGTGGGTTTGCTCGTGTGTATGTGACACACACAGGAAAAGACAAAGGTTATAAGAGATGAGTTTTGGGGGGAGGTTGGGTTTATGTGTGTATGGGGGTGTGTGTGTGTGTGAGATAGAGAGAGATGGGGGAAGGTTATGGTATTGATTGAGAGAGAGACAGATGGGGGAAGAGAAAAATCTGAAGATATAGTTAAAGGGGTATTTTGGTAACTATACGTTAATTAAGAAAATATCTTATATTTTGGGGGGTATTTTGGTCTTTTAGTCATTTCTGTTGGCTCTGTTATTTGATCGTCACCCATAAGGGATCTTAGTGTAATATTTCAAATGTGAGGGAGTCTATGCGATTAAGTGACAAACTTCCAAACATCTTAATACGGTCTCAAAAATCCAAGAAGGCCAAAAAGCTCAAATGCAAGTATCATCTCCATATTGTCAAAAATGAAATAGGAGAAAGTTTTAGTTCTCTTGTTGTTTGTTTATTAAGATTGCATTCACTTTTTTTTTCCATTGTTGAGTGGTGATTCTGTAATTCGAGTATTGACAATACTTTCTTTATGAACTCCTAACCACCTTGCACGTAGGCCATTGTTAATAAAACAAATAGTTTCTTAGCATTTGTATATTTGTGTTCCAAAGAACTTTTGTAGACAAGTTTCTTGTGTGGGGCATGGTAGTAGAATTTCAGTTGGAGATCTAGTAGCACCTTCTACTATATCTTATTGGTTTTTCTTTTTGAGGTTTGTTCAACATAAGCAAGACTATTTAGATGTTAGATTCTTTCTTAGGTATTTCACTTTATTCAAATTTCACTAATATTGTTGAATTTAACATCTAAGCCAAAACAATATAATTAGACTTTTAGGTCATTCACCTAGTCCTTAATATGTAGATATCAATCTTTCAGGCAAAATTTTTTATTGCAATTTGAGTTGTGAATATTCAACACTAATGGAACATTACCTTGACGAAAATTATGAGCACAAGTCTATCGAGAATTAAGATTTTCAAAACATCATATGTAAAGTTTGAAAAATAATGTCTTCCCTTCTTTGCGATATAGGATCCATGAGTTGAAATGAGGCTCAACAAATATATTATATGAATATTTTTTTAATTTATTTTTTAGCAACAAAAAAATCTTATTAAAAATAAAAATTTATAACTTACTGTAAAAAGAATAGAGATCATTCGGAAGTACTTTTTAAATGCAATGACTAAAAGTAAAAAAATAATTTGAAAAGATCACACTTTATCAAATTAAGCTAAGTTCTTGTTTAAGTGCCAACAATTATTTTTTTGCCTTTGAATTGACAATGATCACAACCTATGAAAAGACTTGAAAAGTTCACAACATCATCTATGAAATGTATAACCCCATTTCATAGGTCACACTTAAGCCAATTTAAAAACAAGGACCATCAAATGAAAATGCTAAGACACCTGTTCTATTAGAAGAATTATATGGTTTACTAAAAACCCACACTAATAAAAAAAATTTAAATGCTTCCGAGAACAAAGGTTTTATGAATCCATGACCAATTATGAAGACATTTTTGAATTTTAGGTTTGACATATATAAGTTTATCGAGA